GGAAAGGGGACCATGGCCAGGCAAGTCCCTGCCGTAAGGAGGAACGACACAGACAAGCAACAGTCAGACCACAGGCGATGACTCTGGACTACAGGGAAACTGCTGAATCAGGCATTTTTAATGCACTTTCACATCAACGTTAACACAAACAGCAACGTTACAATTTGTTGCATTCCTTGGAGATTCATAAAAAGAAAAATCAACCCACAAACCAAACTGTCAGCAAGCACTGGGGAAGCTGAGACCGCGAGACATGAAATCTTTATTTCCCTCTTACCAAACGAGTCTGCAAGGCACTTCTCAGCAGCGCCGCCCACTACCTGTCCACCCGCCCCACAGGAAGCAGCAACTGGAATGCGCACACACTCACGATCAGGCCCAGAGGAGCAGGCGTGGGCCCGGGGCGCATCGCAAGCGGGCTTTCTAATCAGAGCGCGGCTCGGGGCACTTGCGTCTTCTCCCTCGGCTGCTGCTCCGGGTCACGTACAAAATGCAGTCCTCTCGCGAGTGCTTACAAAGATTTTATTGGTTACAATGATATAAAAGGTATCAGTCAAGTTCTTCTGTAGCTACTGTTTGCAGCAATAGCATAAAAAATCTTTTTTAAAAAAATACATCTGATAAGCTCCACTGATTTATTTCCTGCTAGAAGGGGGACAGAGCAAACACCACTCTTGTCTGTCTACAGTTTAACTTTCTCTCTCTCTCTCTCTCTCAAGGCTACATTGGTTAAAATCAACGGACAACCCCTTTTGTATGTCAATCGTAAATTTTAATGTTTTCATTAGAATTTTTAGAGCACTCTCCAACAAGAAGCAATAAAGTCACTGACAGCAAACTTCAATACAGGAACACTCCAGAGTAACAGCGCAAACAGAAATGTAGAATGTGAATCACATACAATACAATTGAAGCATCCAAAACAATTTAAATAATTTTAAATATTTTATTTTTAGATGGCTACAAATGCTTTATACAGTATTTCAACATAAAGTCCCCATAACAGAAATGTAACAAAATGGGAATGGTAGTGAAAGGGTTAAAGTGGCACAAACGCACCAAACAAAGATTAAACCACAAATTTCAAGAGGTAGATTACTTCTGAAGTCAGAACAAAGAACAACATGAATAAAACCTAGCCATTCTCCACCAACTCAGTCGGCAGTCTGGGGGAGGCATAAAAGCGCATGGAGGAACCACACTCGCCCATGGCTGGGTGGTTTTCATCTCTCACTAGAGAGTGAAGTGTGAAACCTGGTGTGTAAACGCATTTATATTCCTGTGTAGACACTGATACACTGCTACGTAGTCTCTGATAACATAACCGTTATAAATTAGTGCCAGACACCATCTGAGAGGCCAAGTCCGTGTGGACAGATAAACATGTCGCTGGGGGAAGAGGCATAAAAAAGAGTCCACAGAGCCCACCTCGTCTCCTCTCCATGCTGCTGGCAATCTGCTCGTGATAAAAAACAAAACAACAGAGAAAAAACAAACCAGGCCGGAGGTCAGCTAAATGCTTCTCTCTGCCTCTGAGTCATTTAAAAGAAAGGCATCAAGAGCTGGTATGTGACCAAAACATTTTAAAATGAGTGCATCCGAATTTGTCATCCCTGAAATCTACAACAAACTACAGATAAAACAGAGATCTTGCTTTGCAAGGTTAAGTTCAAATCATTCCTTTCTCGGCTATGTGCCAAAAACAAGGGCTACACTCAGATCTGAGTCACCAGTCCCGAGACGAGGAGCCGGCCAGCTAGCCCGTCATCTCACGCCAGCGCCCTCTCTTTGGATCTCAATCGCACGGGAGCCCAGCAAGCGGGCCGGGCGCCGCCGAAGCAGAGGCCTGACTCTAACCAGGGGAACAAGAAGCCTGCTGGCAATCGGCTGCGTTAGGACTTTTGAGTCAGCTTCAACTGGTCTTGCAAGCTGGGTAGAGTTCGTGTCCTTGCCGTAGTGCTTATCCTAAGTTGAGCATGCAATAGCTTTAAGTCAGTTAAGATTTGTTTTGTTTTGGGGGCTTTCCTACAGGAAGTTCCTAGAAAATAAGAAAACTGAAGATAAATGACAACGTAACAAAACCTTAAATGAATTGACCACGTTAAAGGAAAAGGTGAGGAGACCGAAAGACAAATGTTACCGACAGCGACACACGAGGGACTGGGGAGGTGTTTTAGGGACTCGGGTGTCCTGCTGGGGAGGCTCCCGCTGGGCGGGCCCCAGCAGGTCCACGCCCGCAGCAGAGAGGAGGTGGGAGACCAGAGCTGGAGTGTCCACTCAGGTTCCTGGCAAATGATCAACTCGGCCTGGGATTCCATTTCACTGCCCATCTTTAAGTTTTCTTCACTGACCGCAGTGAGAACTCAGCAGACAAAGAACTGCTCTAGAGGAAGATTAGAGAACTCTACACACACCTGGGGCGGCAGCAGAGCGAGCGCCGCCTTCCTTGTCTCCTGCCTCACTGGGACCCACAGCAACGACTCCTCGGCCACAGATCCCGACCGGGGGCAGCAGCAAGGCCCAGGCGGGTACGGCAGGCCAGCGACTCTAAACACTGGCTGGCCCGCCCGGCCCACCTGGCCCGCCTGGCCGCTCTGTCCTCAGGAAAGGACAGGAAACCTGTTTTGCGCCCTCACTGGCACAAAGGAGAACTGCACCCTAAATGTGAAGCAGCCAACTCTGCTCCTGCCACCCTCAAGGCTGATGGCGGACACTCTTCGGAGAAGCGTGGCACCTGTCAGGCATCTGCGTGTCGGGGAGCCGCTGGCCAGTGTGGGTTTTTGGAAAGGAAAACAGACAAAGGGTGTGTGTGCTTCAGCAGTGCGCCCCTGGTGTGGGACAAGGTCCGAAACGCAAAACCACTGAAAACAGCAGAGGCCTGGCATCACGGATCACCCCTAAACAGAGCTCACACGCAGCAACACACGGGCGTGGGAACACAGCTGCTGCCCAAGGAACTCAACGTAAGACAACGCACGGGCTCGGAGGACGAGGACCAGCCTGCACAGCCCGGGCGAGACAGTGACGACCGTCATCTGAGTGTAGGAACCCTAGTTCTGTCCTAAGGAGATCAAAACCAGCTCTGCAGAAATGGCCACTCTTAGGTCCACACAGTCAACACGTGAGGTCCCAACGCACACTTGTTTTCTAATTCCCCAGAACACGGGGTAAGTTTCTGGCCACTCGGGAAGTGGACCGCCGGACCACACTGGTGTCCCGCAGTGACCACAGCACAACCCAGCGACTCACACACAGAAACCGCCACCACGCCGCCTGTGCTGAAGGTTCCTTCTCTGCCGCCAGCAAGTTACCCCCAGCGACCACCGAACGAAGAAAGGGAGAAGTAACGAGAGCGAAGACGACAACCTTCAGGCACTTCAGTTCTCTAGTTTCGAGGGTCCGTCAAAAACCACAGATGGGTAAGGGCTATCTGACTCACTCTGTAAAGGCACAGGTCCCCGAGAGCTCTCCAGGACGGACTTGACTTCTCACGCGGACCTGGCCCTCCAACTAGAAAAGGGGGCCTCAGGGTAACGCAGGAACCCTCCCGGCTGACCTCGGGGGCAAACACTGGCCGAGCACCTTCTGGGGCTCTGACCACTGGGAGGTGTCTGTTGGCAACAATCCACGCGAGCGATGGCCCTCGGTCTGGACAGAGGCAACTGGCCAGGACTCTGAAGGAGGACGCCCTACTGGTGTGGTGACCCACAGCCTGGGAGGAGCGCACACAGGCCCGTGGTGACGCTGACAAACAGGTGCTTCTCACCCAGGCTAACCTCCAAGATACTACACCCACGCCCGTGCTGAGCCAGTGACCAAGCACTGATCAGATCTGGGGCAGACAAACATGTTTATGGAGTGGCTTTTGAGAATCTGATCCTTTAATCCCACAGTAAATCACTCCTTGGCCAACGACTCCTCTCTACCTCTTCCTTCCGCCGCAGTGAAGGCACTGGGCAGCAAGGCTTCCACCTGCACCTTCACACAGAGGCACCTGCACCCACGTGTCCTCAAGACCTCGCCAAAGCAGCAGCTACACCCCAGCCAACCCTAGTTCTGTCACAGCCATGAGAGCCGAGTCAGGACGGGCAGCACGTGCTGGAAAGACCAGCTTTCAAAGCAGTTTGCAGAAATGCCACCTGCTGACGCACCCTCTCAGGAGACGGACCCACAGGCATTATTCCAGAACTCCCAGGGCAGAGGCCCACACACCCAGCATAACTTCTGCTGTCTTGTTTTGTCTGTCCCTAGGAACCGTCCTCAACACAGAACACGAGGTCAAGTGGAAAAGCCCCCGCAAGTCTTCAGAGGAATCCTTCCACCGTACTGGGGAGATGCCAGACAACTGACCACGGAGGCAGCCACGGGACCAGAGGGCCACCGCCACCCCCCCCAGCACCTAGCTTGCTGACTGAGTACCCGGCATCTGCAGACGGCTTGGGGGAGGGGGGGGCGTCTAACGTCTAAGGTACTTCTGAAGCAACATGGAGTTTGCTTTGCTTGAACCACTGTGGCAGCAGGCGAAAGCATGGGGGACGGGGCAGTGCCGGCCGCTGTGTCCACGCTACACCACAGGAACGTTAACCACGACCGCTCCGGGCTCTGCCGGTGAGCTCAGCACGCCAGCTGGACCTGAGGAGCGACCTGTGATGAGGAAGTCACGCAAGTGACCCAGAGACAGGGCCCAGAAATGCAGGGGGCTGGGGAGAAACCCACCCTTCCAGACTGGGTGCTTCCGAGAGCTTCCTCACGGTTTCAAGTTGAGGCCGCGCCTGGCCCTAGCATAGGAGCGGTACCAGGCTGTGAGTGCCAGGTCTGAGCTAGACACTGGTTATTTCATCGCCACAGCAGCCGAAGCAGCGACCCTTCCTGCCTGCGGCTCACAGGGCCAGCCAGCTCCTCCGAGCACTTGGGTAAAAAGGCTGCAGGAGAAAACAGCTCCCGTGCGCAAGTCTCTGGGCTGCTCCCCGGTCCTGGCCCCCCCACGCTGCTGCGCTTACCTGAAGTCCTTCAGCTCCTGCCTGGCGCTGCCGTCCTCTCTCCTGCCGTCACCGGAGTCGGCGGCAGCCGCCAGCTGCAGGCTCCTGGTGATGGGCCCCCCGCTCCGCTCTCTGCATTTTACAGCGAAGCGGTCTGTTCTTTTCTTACTCGCCAGGGCGGATTCGCTTTGCAGCACAGCTCTGCTTTTCTGCGCCCTCGCGTGCAGGCTGCGGGACGCCTTGCTGGAGAGCTGAGCAGAGTGATTCTTGGCCACGGCCCTGGGTTTTCTGGCTTCCACGTGGCTTATCTTAGCCATCCTTATCGGGCTGGAGTTCCTTAAAGATGAGGAGGTCGGCTTCTTGGACTTCACGGAAGTGGCGAACTTGACGTTCTGCTTGGCCCGGAAGGACGAGGAGGGCAGCGGCGCTTGGGCGGGCCCCGAGCTGCGAGCACGCGTCTTGCCCAGAGGCGTCTGCGTGCTCTGCATCTTGATCTCCGCGTCTGCTGTCCGTCGGCGGTGGCTGCCGCCGCCCTTGTCAGCCCCTGCGGGGGACGAGTGGCCGCCTTTCTTGGAGGCATGGGAAGCTTTTTTTTTGGAGGGAGAGAGGGGTTTTTTGGGGCAGCTGAAGGCGGCGTGCTTGTTCAGGCTTCCGACGTAGGTGAACTCGCGGCTGCAGTAGGGGCACACGTGGGCGGCCGGCTCGGCGCCGCCCTCCAGGTCGGCCTTCTGCCTGGCCGACTTGTTCTTCTGCAGGATGGCTTTCTGCACCAGCTGGTTCTTCCTCTTCAGCGCGTTCAGCTTGAGCTTGCTGGAGGCCACCTTGCTGAGCTCCACGCTGAAGTTCAGCCTCTTGGGCTGCCCCATGCGCCGGAAGGCATTTTTGCCAGGGTGGTCCAACACGACCACGCCGTTCTTGGGCTGCACGGTCTGTTTCAAGGGCACGGGGTTCTTCTTCGGGGTGTACCTCTTCCTGTCACTCGCGGAGGCACAGGCCAGGATGTGCTTGTGCAGCTCGGGCATGTTGTCGACGCCTTTGCCACACTTGGTGCAGCGGATGGCCGTGGTGAACGTCTGCGGGATGTTGTGCGTGGTGAAGTTGGTGGCCGTCACGCCGATGCCCATGGGGTTGCGGTGGTGGTACTGGAAGGGAGGCGGCTTGAAGCTGGGGTAGTGCTGGTTGAGGCCCAGCCGCACGTCGGGGTCCTTTGTCTTGATCCCGGAGGCCATGATCTTTATGGTGGTGTACAGCTCCTCCGAGGAATCGTTCAGCTCCTCCTCCTCCTCCTCCTTGGCGGCGGCCGAGGGCTCCTCGGGCAGGCTCCGCATGTGCTCCGCGTGGGCCTTGCTGGGGTCCGTGAAGTTGTGCGGCCGCAGGGTCCCACTTGCAAACTCGTGGTGCGTGCACACCTCATCCGGGTGCAGGTCCCGCTGGTGCTGCTGCAGATTGCACAAGAACGCAAACTCCTTTTTACAAACGGAGCACACAAAGATATTCCCAACTCCATGGAGCAGGAGGCGGTGCTCGGACAGATCCGCTTTATCCTTAAAAAGCTGCACACAAAATTCACATTTGAAGGGCCACTCTTCAGCATGGACAGATAAATGCTTGGTGAGGTCCTTGATGGAGAGAAAAGGCGATCCGCAGACATTGCAGACAAAGCTTCGGTTGAATGTCTGCTCCGGGGCGGCCTGCGGCTCCTCCCGGGGTCTCGGACCTGCACCCTCCAGGTCCTCCTGTTTGAGAGTTATCAGGGGGAGAGAAGCCTCCAGGTTATCACCAGAGGAAACAACAGACGACACGGCCGAGAGAGGTGGTGGGGAAGGGGAAGAGGAGGAAGAAGAGGAAGACGAGGAAGAGAAGGATGAGGAGGAAGACGAGGAAGAGGAGAGCGTGGGAGGCCCGGGTGATGCGGCAGACATGAGAGGCCCCGCGGCGGGGACGGGGGAAGGCGAGGGTGACACTGTCGGGGACAGGACAGGCAGTGGAGACTGTGTGGTGGCGCTCGAGAGCGGGGAGGGGCACGGGTGAGGAGAGGCACTGGAAGGGGCGGCTGGGAGGGGGACGGTGGGAAGGAGGGGAGGGGGCGGAGTGGCGATGGTTAACACGGGAGGACAGGCCGGAGGGGACGAGGGGGCTGTGGGCGTCAGGAGAGGCGGCAGCTGACCCGAGGGCAGGGAGGACGCCTGCAGGGCCGGTGACGACGGACAAACGTCAGGCGGGGGCTCAACAGGAGGGGCAGAGAAGCCAGAGTCAGGGCCGAGGTCGGGGTCTGGCTGGGCACCGAGGGATCTGCAGGGACTCGGGCTCCTGGCGGCGTCGGCAGCACCGTCTGCCGGTGCGTCACCGCCACTGTACTCGTTGAGGAGGACCCTCTGCAGCATGCGGGTGGTGGGCTTCTTCTTCCGGGCGGCGCTGCACGTGGGCTGCACCGTGTGGTTTTCTTTGGATTCCTTGCCTTCGGGGTCACTGCCAGGCTTTTTATGCACACTGAGGTCTAACACCGATTCCCACGGCACTGGGGCCCTGCCCGCCCCGTCGGCCTTCTGTTTGACGCCACTGGACAAGTCCAGTGGCTGCTGGTTGCACACATTGCTGAAAGTGGAGCTGGCCGCCCACTCCTTGGGGATCTTGTACTCATCAAAGCACGGGGGGCTCCCGGCTTCTCTCTCCTCTCTCCCAGACAAACTCCACGCAGGGGAGTCGCTGCGACCTTCCAGCTTGGACTTTTTGGACGTCAGAACGGCGTCTGGCCACACGGCTTTGCCATCGCCCGGCTTTCCGAAGTCTCGAAGGGCCGGGCTGTGCTGTGGGGAACTGGGAGGAGAGCTGGTCCGCCTCTTAAACCTACTCGCGCTCACGGGCAGCATGGACGCCGGGGCAGACACACAGATGGGGCCTAATTTGGGGATTTCTGTGGCTGAAATCCCGGCGGGGGGAGCCAGCTTCTCCTGAGTCTGCAGCAGCTGCTTGAGCTTGGACGACAGGTACACGCTTCTCTCTTTATGGAAAGACACCGCCGCCGCCTCCGTGGTTGCCACGCTGAGGGGCAGCGTCAGGGAGCACGAGGGGGCCACGGGCTCGGCGTCCGTCTCGGCTTTGATTTTGGGTAGCACCGGAGGGCTCGCGGTCCTCCGCTTCTTGGACTCACAGGCCGTGCTGCTGGACGGCTCTTTAGAAAGATCGTCCGTCACGGGGACCTGCGTGGGCTTTATGCTCTGCGTGATCTCCACCGTGACGGGCGTGAGCAGGCAGTTTATACCGTACAGCTCTGCCGAGTTCGCCTCCATCTCGATCACATCACAGTTGCTAGTGCTGCTGCTGGTCTGGATCTTACCATCGATGTAGTAGTTCAAGTTCTCAGAGATATTGCTGGAGACATCCATGATGTACACGTCGTCCGCCTCCCCGTCCTCCTCAGGCTCTGTGCTCGGCACGTAGACGCTGGGCGTGGGCGGGGCCTGCTCGGCCGGAGGCTGCGGCTCCTCCAGGCCTCCTTTCCGCCGCACGCCTTTGGGAATCAGGTGGCGCTCGTGCACCCGACGCTGATGCCGCCTCATATTGGTGTGAGTTCCGAAAACCTTCTTACAGTATTTGCATGGATGCAGTTCTTTAACTTCCCCGTTCTCTTCCACAACAGAAGAGCTCACTGTTTCTTGGGCAGCTTTTTCTGAGTTCAAGACGGGACAGTCCTGCCCCAGGCGGGGAGGAGGCGCCTCGTCCGTAGGAGCAGCACCGTCCCCGGACCCTCTGCCATCAGCCAGGTCCTCCGGCGGCTGCGGCGTCAGGCTGGGCTGCCGCTTGAGCCCGGCCTCGTGGCGACGCTCGTGCCGCCGCCTGTTGATCTGCGTGCCGAAGGCTTTCCCACAGTACTTGCACTTGAAGGCGTGGCTGACCGTGGCCAAGTGGATGTGCATGTGCCGCTCGAGGCCCTGCTTGGTCGTGAACTTCCTCTCGCAGTGCTGGCATGGAAACATAAACACTTCCAGCACGTCACCATTGGCCTCTTCTCTAGTTCCGGGGATGCCGCTCACGGGCGTTGCCTCTGGAGAGTCTTCAAGAGTTTCTGTTGAACTATTTTTTGGTTCATCTAACAAATCTTCTGGCTTCTCATCACACCGTATCTCTGGCTCCTGCCCAGAACTTTCATTTGGCATGTCAGCTTCTTCCTCCCCCTCTTCCTCCAGCTCCTCCTCCTCCTCTTCCTCCTCCTCCTCCTCCTCTTCTTCCAAATCCTGCACATCACAATTTGCGGCTTCTAGTTTCCCGTCCGGCTCTGGCTGCGGCTCCCGGGCAGGGGGAGGGCCGGTTCGCTCTGGAAGCGCATCGTGACACGCCACCTCCACAAGGACAGCTGGGGGCTCAAGCACGGGGGCCGACGGCTTCTCTTCCTCTTCTTTAGGCCCTAGAAGTGCACACAAGCAGAGGTGTGGACGTGAGGGCAGAAACCAGCCACTCTGGCACCCGCTCCTATGGTTCAAGCTACTTCTAGCCCCTAAAAGGCCTCAGGGAGATCACAATGGACAGTGGGCAGCCTTGACTTTATGTGCCTTGCTCACAGGCTGCACTGGATAGGAACCAGGTCCACTCGCTGCCTCGTTCATGCACTAAGTGTCCAGAGAGCCTGCTATGCCCCTGGCATCACAAGCACTACAGACAGGAACGCCCCACAGCTTGCAGTCGTGCGTGTCCCTTGCCCTTGGTCGGAGCGGCCAATGCGAAGTCTCAGGAGGCTGCTGTAAACTGCAACTCCACAAGACTCGACTGGGCGCCCCGCCCCCTCCCGGAAGTGCAGTGGGTTCTTGGTGGTCTGTCTTGAGATCAAGTTCTCTCTCCTGCCTAACACTACATATTTAGAAGCTCAAACACCTTCCGGAATCACACAATCAGCAGTTCTTCAAGTCAAAGAAACTGTGGAGACGCCCCCTTCTAAGCCTAATCAGTGCCATGACCTCAGGACGCCCCCGTCAGTGTCCACGCCCAGCCCAGCCTGTGGCAGGTGTGACAGACTGACAGCTGCACATCAACCTGAAGCTGCCTGGGGGAGGGGAGCCCATGCACCAAGGAAAGAGCGAGGGCGAGGGGCGGGACAAGGACCAGAGAGGTGGCCAGGGACCCGCTTCCTCACCTCTCGTCGGCTGCTGGGCTTCATTCTGAGGAAAACAGGAGCTACCAGAAAGTTCTAACAGAGACGTGACCCGCTTTATACCTGAGAGTCACCTGTGCTGCTCTAAGGAAGACAGAACACCGTGCTGGACAAGGGTGGGGGCAGACGGACGCACGGCCTTGCGCGTTCCACAGAAGGGCAGGCGGTGACACGGAGTGACCGCGGGGGAGGAGGTAGCCATGGCAGGACTCTGGATGTATTCATGAGAAGAGGCCGACGGGGTGCCCGACAACACCCCCAGAAAACAGGACAGGCGGCGTGGGCTGGGGAATCCAGAGCCCGCCCCAGGGGCCTGGTGCAGGGACCCCAGGGTAGGTGTAGGTGGAAAGTCACACACGCGTCTCCATTTGCTGAGCCCCGGGACGGCCGAGTGCTCAGGCCAGAGAAGCGTCCCGAGTAACTGCCGGGGCAGACGGCAGAGGGCTGCGTGGCAGGGAGCGAGCGCCCTGGTCCAGACCAACCAGTAAGATGAGGACAAGCCTGGGACGCTCCATTTCCTGCAGCCCAGGTCCTGTGGCCGTGGAGCAAGGAGGACAAGCAACTAGCAGAGTGCGGGGAGTGGGGGTGGGGGGTTATAAGCATGAGTTGTTGCAAGGCAGCGCTGGGACAAACGAGCCCCTCGGGACAGGAGCTGCCAGGGCAGAGGTGGGCGGACGGAGATGGATCAAGCGCCGCTTCCCTCACAGCCCCATCTGCTGAAGACACCGCTGACTCCTCCAGGCCATGCCGCCGGTTGGTTCTGCCATCGCTGGACAGGTATTCAGTGGGCAACACTGGGTCAGGTGGCTGTCAAGAGCCTTAGCGCTGGCGCAGCAAGCCAGCAACAACACAGCAGCTTACAGAAGCCCGCGTGGGCATCCTGGTGGGCCCTGCTCGTGGGGAATGCTCTCAGACGAGGCACCCGGTGGGCTGAGCCTGGACGTTAAGTGGAGAAGCCACGGGGAGGGATGGAAACTTCAGGATGCGGTGTGGTAACCTGGGCTTCTCCAGGGGCAGGGGGAGATCTGTCTACAAGGTGGGGTGGAGGAGTAGGGGAAGAACCTGACTGGAGGCTGAACCAGGACTGATCCACTGCCCACACCGTGTGGGGACACGGGAAACAGCGCCAAGGCAAACGAGGCACAGCTGTGGAGACAGCAGAGGCCTGCGGGCAGGCGTGGGGAGGGGACCCCTGTGTGCAGGGAGAGGCGAGGCACCAACACAGGCACGGGCACGTGGGCCCGGCGCTGGCTCTGAGGGTGCGCACCCCTTCTTCCCATCTGCCCTGGAGTCCACCAGCAGCGAGGCCCCTGCTCCTAACAGAAACAACTCTCCCAGACAAACCTCCTGCATTCCATGAGCCACCCACAGACTGCGAAACCAGTTATTTGACGGTGGCGAACTGCAGCCAACTCTCTTTTCAAATACATTTTCAACAAAGACTCAGAATACTGCCAAAGAAGTTGAAATAAGGCAACAGAAAATGCATCTCTAAGGCTCAGAAACTTCTCTGTCAAAATCTGTGGTTTCCTTTGATGGGAGAAAAAATGTTTTCCACCATGACTGGTAAACAATCCCAGATTTAAACTGTGCAAAGTGAGTCGAGCCACAACGTGGCCATCTCTACTGAGTAGCCAGGCCGTGCCAGAGTGTCACACACACCACGTGGTCTCTGCAGCTTCAAGCACGCATGCATGTCTGCTCAGAAACGGGAGTCTCCACTGCCGGCTCCACACAGAGACAGGCGGCACACTCGGCCATGCCCCGACCGCCGGCTCCAGACAGAGACAGGCGGCACACTCGGCCATGCCCCGACCGCCGGCTCCAGACAGAGACAGGCGGCACACTCGGCCATGCCCCGACCGCCGGCTCCAGACAGAGACAGGCGGCACACTCGGCCATGCCCCGACCGCCGGCTCCAGACAGACAGGCGGCACACTCGGCCATGCCCCGACTGCCTGCTCTAGACAGAGACAGGCGGCACACTCGGCCATGCCCCGACCGCCGGCTCCAGACAGAGACAGGCGGCACACTCGGCCATGCCCCGACCGCCGGCTCCAGACAGAGACAGGCGGCACACTCGACCATGCCCCGACTGCCGGCTCCAGACACAGACAGGCGGCACACTCGGCCATGCCCCGACTGCCGGCTCTAGACAGAGACAGGCGGCACACTCGGTCATGCCCCGAGTGCCGGCTCCAGACAGAGACAGGCGGCACACTCGGCCATGCCCCGACTGCCGGCTCCAGAGACAGGCGGCACACTCGGCCATGCCCCAACCACCAGCTCTAGACAGAGACAGGCGGCACACTCGGCCATGCCCCGACCACCCTGGACAGATGCCGCAGTGCCAGTATAAGCTCAGAGGTCTACACCCATGGCCCATTCACGGCACCTGGGAGTGAATCAAGACAAGATCATGTCCTGAATTATGGAAGAGGGTGAGGGGAGTGCGGGATTCTTAGCCATTTTACTCTGCCACCAAAGGTAGAGAGGTTCTTCGGTAACTACTGTCACTGTCGTTCAAGCAACATCTCACCAAACGGCTGAGGCAGACGCACTCCCAGGAGGTGCTGGCACACGAACCTGTCTATTCTCGCTTCATCAGAGGGCCCAGACATCACAGCCCTCCGTGAACACCACCTCCACAAACAGGGCTACAACAGGGCTACGACAGAGCTACAAAGGCATCCAGCATGTTCTTGTTCCTTTCTCTACTAACGTTTCCTGAGCGTCACCAGGCTGCCTTCTGAAAGCTGCCTATTTGGGCAAACTGTGGACAGCTCTTGAGCAAGGGTGGCCTGGCTGTGCACGGGTAACACATCGGACAGCCCCAGTTCTGCACCAACAGTCTCAAAAGGTAGCTGGGTCACAAGGAGCACAGAGCAAGCCGTCTTTCTGACCAGTGTCCACTGCCTGCCTCTGTGTGTTCCCCTGTGACGCAAGGCCTGGAATGGTCACCGTCAGAGGGACTATCAAGGAGAAATTCGGGGGCTGGCGCTGTGGAGCAGTAGGTTAAGCCGCTGCTTGTGGCGCCAGCATCCCATATGGGCGCCAGTTCTAGTCCTGGGTGCTCCTCTTCTGATCCAGCTCTCTGCTGTGGCCTGGGAAAGCAGTAGAAGATGGCCCAAATGCTTGGGCCCCTGCACCCGAGTGGGAGACTCGGAAGAAGTTCCTGGTTCCTGGCTTCGGATTGGCCTTGCTCCGGCCATTGTGGCCAGTTGAGGAGAGAACTGGTGGATGAAAAACCTCTCTCTCTCCCTCTCACTGTCTGTAAATCTACCTTTCAAATAAATGAATTCTTTTAAAAAAAAAGAAAGAAAGAAATTTGGGATAGGAGAAACACAGAGATGAAATACGTAAGAATTTAAACTCTAACAGACAGCAACACTTTACCTGGACACTTACCATCTGTCCTATAGAATCAAGCTGTCCGGTATTTTTAAGTAAATGGTGAAGCATGAAACCCAGATGCATGAACGTGTGCAAATCTCATGTACAGAGACAGAATGTGCAGACTGAGCACACCCAGAGCCATGCCGGTCACCAGTGCACTGGCACCCCGCGGCTGCCAGTCCCTGCCAGTCTGGCTTCTGTCACCACAGATTTGTTTCCAGGGTCTTGAACTTTGTATTACTTAGAAATGCAAAAATCTAGTATGTTCCATTATATTCTGACAACAGGATAATTTCATTTTTAACAAGGGAGTTCTTTAACCATTCTGAAGGGGAATTAGGATGTGGTCAGCTCCCTTCACCACACTTGATCTAGAAGGATTCTCAAAGGGACTCAGCGAGCCGCAGGGCTAAGCTCCCAAGCTCCCAGGCAGTACGTACCCAGGCGGCCGAGCCAGCGCCGCACGCTTACCTTCCGCAGAATCTCTCATACTTGCAGAGCTGGGGTCCGGCTCACTACTCTTCAGCTGTGTGTCTTGGGCTTTGTTCCCTTTGTTTTTATTTTCCTGGGACTTTTTCTTCCCTGAAACAGAGTATCCATTTATTCATTCTATCATCTGCTCATTATCTCTCTGAATTACTGAAGGAGACAACACTTTTATCCAAGCAGAGCAAACTGGTGTTTCTGGGCAATGATCACTTCAGATCCCTAAAGAAAGGAAAGGACAATGAATATAAATACTTCCACGTCAGGGCTGGCGCTGCGGCACAGTGGGGCTGAGCCTCTGCCTGCAGTGCCGGCATCCCATATGGGTGCTGGTTCAAGTCCCGGCCGCTCCACTTCCGACACAGCTCTCTGCTGTGACCTGAGAAAGCAGTAGAAGATGGCCCAAGTGCTTGGGCCCCTGCACCTGTGTGGGAGACCCGGAAGGAGCTCCTGGCTTCGGACTGGCAAAGCTGTGGCCTTCATGGCCATCTAGGGAGGGAACCAGAGATGAACGACTTCTCTGTCTCTCCCCCTCTCTGTAACTCTACCTCTCAGATCAATAAAATCTTTAAAAATAATAATAATAAATTAATACTTTCACATCAATCAAGTCAGAAAGAAAGGAATCTACAAATCCCACATTTCTGAGAACCGGGGGCTTCGTTCACCGCTACAACCGATGCCAAACAAACAGTTAACACACTCCGAAAAGTTACCTTTGACGGCACAGCACACCTGCGGCAGTACCACACAGGGCCAGGGACTGACACCGAGTCTGGCTACTTCCAAGAAGCACATCAGAGAAAACAACACACAGAGGCGGAGCCAAAGGGAAACAGAGGCAGAGACGCGGCGAACCACCAGGGATGTGTGCGCACAATGGCCCCGCATCCAACGGAGGAGGAGCAGAGCTCACTGCGGCTGGCGGGATCCACCCCGATGTGTGGGCTGCAGAAGACGACGGTGCGAACGGGATTCATTTCCGCTCTGCTGGAACAAGTGAGCCCCCAGGGCCCGCGTCTCCCCACCGAGGACTGACACGGGGTCGGCCCTGTCGGGAGGACCACTCTTCCACTCAATCCGCCGCCTCTTTCCCTGGTGTGTCAGACCCAGAGCTGCCTCCGCCCTCCCCCGCACATCCCCTCTCCTCTGTAGGTGATGCTCTCGAGAGCTGGCCGCTCCAGGTCCCTTCTGGAGCAAGCCTCCTGCCACCTGCGTGAGCCAAATGACCAGAGCACACGGACAATCACGCTCCCCACAGCAGAGTCGCTGGAGAGGAGGGCCCTTTAAGTGCACACAACAGAGGAAGACGAGGCCAGAGGTAGAAAGGGGCATCTGTGAAGGGTTCAGTGGTCAAACAGAAACAGCAGTTTCCATATAAAGAAATACTAACCTCAGAAAACACCAGATTTTGATAAAAATCTGAGATGCAACAAGAAAAAACCCAGAATATTTAGTCATCACTTAGTCTATCTTAAAAAGTAAACCCTGAGAGGGCAGGGGAGGGTGGCTCAAGGCCTTGGGCCCCTGCACCAGCGTGGGAGACCCAGGGGAAGCTCCTGGCTCCTGGCTTCAGATCGGCGCAACTCCAGCCATTGCGGCCATCTGGGAGGTGCACCAGTGGATGGAAGACCTCTCTCTCTCTTTCTTTCTTTCTCTGCCTCTCCTTCTCTGTGTGTGTAACTGTGTGTGTAACTTTCGGGTAGAATGAATAAAAAAATATGGGGCCAGCGCTGTGGCACAGTGGGTTAAAGCCCTGGCCTGAAACACCAGCATCCTTTATGGGCGCCGGTTCTAGTCCCAGCTGCTCCTCATCTAACTCCCTGCTATGGCCCAAGAAAGCAATAGAAGATGGCCCAAGTACCTGGACCCCTGCACCCACGTGGGAGACCCGAAAGAAGCTCCTGGCTCCTGGCTTCGGATCAGCACAGCTCTGGCCGTTGTAGCCATCTGGGGAGTGAACCAGCGGATGGAAGACCCCCCCCCTCTGTAATTCTTTCAAATAAATAAAATAAAATCTTAAAGTAAACCCTGAGTTACCATTTTAAATGTCTAATTCTTCAGACTAGAAGAAAACACTTGTTGCAACTACACCGTAAACAGAATCCTGACAGACGCCTGCGGGGTCCTCTCCGGAGGCTGTTCGCACCGACGCCTCCATCGCCGGCACCACGCTGCTGCACGGGGAACAGAAGCTGCGGCCCCAGCTGCTCCACCAGGACGAGGACTCACCAACCACCTGCGTGGGGTGCCTTCCTCTTGTGGTTCTGTGCACATCATCAATCGCACTTGGCCTAGATCTGACCATACAGAGCCTCTGGAGGGGCCCGGCTGTGCTGACGAAACCTGGATTCAGTTGTCTCATCACCCTGTGTGTGCAACGCGAGGCCCACGTCTGAGTCCCAATACCAAACTCAATGCCTGCTCCCCACACCTGCCCACCTAAGCTGACACAGCTGCTCCAAGGCTGTGTTTGGGGAAACCCCAGCTTCTTCCATTATCACAGAAGGGGCCCCGGGACAGGCTTCAGATCCTTGACTCAGAAAAGATTTTCCTGAATCAAAGTCACGACATTTTTCCAAGTTGTCATGACCGCCTCATGGCGCCCCAGACAGGTCGAGGGTGTTGTCTTACTGACCACTTACTTTCTACTTTTTACCTTCTTCTTTGTGGGAGTCTTAAAGACAAATTAAAAGGGACAGGCAGGGTCTAAACTTTATTAAACGCTACATGCGTTGTTTGACTAAATTTAATAGCAAACCAGGTGTTGGGGTGGACACTGGCACAGCGGGTAAAGCCTCCACTTGCAGCAACAGAATCCCTTATCTAAGCTTTCGGTTGAGTCCCAGCTGTTCCACTTCTGATGCACCTTCCTGCTAATGCACCCCAGAAAGCTGCGGAAAACAGCCCAAGTACGTGGCCCCTGCACCTAGGTGGGAGACCTGGAAGAAGCTCCTGGCTTCAGAGCGCCCCAACTCCGGTGGTTGTGGCCACCTGGGGGAGTGAAACAGGGGATTGAAGATCTTCTGTCTCTTCCTCTCTGTAACTCTGCCTTTCAAATAACTATATCTTAAAACACACACACACACACAGGTCAACTTGTAACAATCCTCTGCAAAGCTAACTCCAAGGTTTTCTGCAACTTCTCAAGCACTGTGCCTATCCATCACATCACATGGCAAAACAGAGCACACTCCGCCGGCCTACAGGAAAAGAGCACGAGCTAAGTGAAATTTCTAGGTTTCTAAGAAAACAGAACAACTGTAGCAACACCACTCACCAAGATGCACAAAATGAAATTGTACAAGCTGTCTAAAAGTTAAGATGAAAACAAAACAAACGGTAATGGGGACCGCGCCGACTATCCAAGAGAGAAAAGGCCGTTGCTTTATTCCCAGCCCCAAAGAACACTGGACCACTTGGCTGACCCCAATGCCAAACACCATCTGTGGACTCCTCCAACCCACCAGGGGCTCGTGCCTTTTCCTCTACAGCCCTGACGTCGGAGCCCTGCCCCAGTGGAAAAGAGGCCAGCTCCAGCAGGTGTGTCTCCTGCAGCCTCGAGGCTGTCAGGAGAGTCTGCCACAGGCAGCAGCAGGAGGGTCGCTCAGGGCCAGGTCACTGCCTGCGACTGGGGCTGTCCCAGCACTGGAAGGTGTCCAGCAGTTCCTGTGGCTCCAGCCACCACATGCCAGCAGTTCTAACGATTCAAGTTCTCTACAAGTGACCAAAGGCCCCCTCCTCGGGTGAAGAAGCAGGGGCTGGACCATGCACTGTACTTCTGGGTCAGCAGAATCCCTGTAGTGCCCGTACTTACTAAAAATCACAGAAAATACTCAATAACACTAGACACCAGCTCTAAAAACACAGGAATGAAACAATCAGGTTTATCATCAAAGTAACTCTGGTGAAGACTGATGGCTGCTTATGACGAATCCAGTCTGTCTGTTGTGACTGGCACCTTTCACTCACGAAACAGATTATCTGACACACGAAACAATGTTCTCATTGTCAATCAGAATCGCCTGTCAAGTTACTTCTGACTGGGGCCTTAGACGAGAGATGAAAGGGCTGTCAGTCACGTGCCCTGCCTGCAACTTTGTGGGAGGAGCAGAAGGCCGGGGCCATGGACTGATCAGTCTAGGGGAGGCCAGAAATTAGACCCTGGGGGCCTGCTCCCACTCCCACTCCCAGTGCCAAAGACCGGGACAGCAAGCAACAGGCAGTGGACCCTGCTGCATCTCCTTCCTCGAACTGTTTCCTGGTGTCTGATTCCCATCCCTCATCGGACTGAAAGAAACCACCGAAGACTTTACCACGGGGAGAGGAGCGGCTGGGAGCCTGGTGAGCACGCGAGTGCACTTCCCATCAGGTTCCTCAGGGTCCTACACGGCGCTACTGCCAGCTGGCCGCTCCGCTCGGTCTAGACGAGAGAGACAGAAATGAAACACGAGGAAGTGGAATGGAAACAGGGACACCAACAGCTAGAAGGACAGGACCCAACTCTGGGTCTGCGGGGAAAAGAAAGAGCCACGAGATGAAGAAGCATGGGCCACACAGACGGGAAACGGCAGCTACCTAGGGCCACAGGGGCCCACACACGAAGAATGCAGCTTTTTTTTTTTTTTTTTTTTTTTGACAGGCAGAGTGGACAGAGAGAGACAGAGAGAAAGGTCTTCCTTTTTCCGTTGGTTCACCCCCCAAGTGGCTGCTACGGCAGGCCCCTTGCGGCCGGCGCACTGCACCGATCCAAAGCCAGGAGCCAGGTGCTTCCTCCTGGTCTCCCATGCAGGTGCAGGCCCCAAGCACTTGGGCCATCCTCCACTGCCTTCCTGGGCCCCAGCAGAGAGCTGGACTGGAAGAGGAGCAACCAGGACAGAAGCCGGTGCCCAAACAGGGACTAGAACCCAGGGTGCCGGTGCCGCAGGTGGAGGATTAGCCTAGTGAGCCGCGGTGCCGGCCAAGAGTTCAGCTTTTAACTGTGTGCTTGGTTGCTCAGACCAAGATCAATGCAGTAAACTCATCCTCGAGCCTGGGGCCAGACCACGAGAAGGCCCCAAAGACCCGACACCTACGCCTCTCACTTCACGGGAGACACAGCGGCAACGCAGACGGCAGCAACGGACCGAAGTCACATGACCGCACAGCTCTGCAGCAGAATCACAAGTCCAGGGCGGTGATGCTGACAGAGCTCTCGCTCCGACAGGCCCTGCTGTCCAGGCACACCCTCACTGTGCACCTGCTGTCCACGCACACCCTCACTGTGTACCTGCTGTCCACGCACACCCTCACTGTGCAGCCACCCTTCACACAGAAGGCTGTATAAAGGCTCCCAGGGAAGGGACCACAATCAAGTTAGAATGCAGTTTTTTCCCGTTTCCAGAAGCAAGTATCAGCCAAGAGCACAGAGGCTTGATCTGAACTAACAGGATTCGCCACTTTACTATGTCAAGGGAACTCGGTTTTCTAGTGCACCTGCTGCCACACGGACACGAGCCGCCGCACGACTGCTCCCTGAGACAAGGCGGCATCGCACTGTGCTGTGGAGCGAGCTGCAAAACCAGAAAGGCCCACAGGACCACGCGGCTCGTTCCGCCTGGGTCTGGACTATGTTCTCCCGTGTAATAAACGTACAAATACTAGGAAACTCTAGAGAATTAATGCAGCACGCAACAGAGAATGCAAGGATACTAGAAGGTTGCTTGAGTTACATTGAAAATCCATCCTAACAGTGGGAGCTCCTGCGTTTGGCTATTTGTGAGAATTACACTTCCCATCACGGCGACGACGTGAGGCTGCCTTCCCAGGCGGAGCTGGCCAGCCCTCAAGTCTCTTGCAGGATCAAACGGAGCACACAGAGCCAGGCCACAGCCTTGGTCTCCCCGCCTTCCCCCAGATGCACAGCTGATTCCTGTGACAGTTCTGCAGCTGGACCACAAAAGGTCGCTACGGACACGGGCTCCCCAAGCAGGGGCAACAGTGATGCCCTAAAGCAGGGATGGGAAACGTCGGGCAATCACAAGGCAAAAGCAGGTGGGACTTGAATTCAGTAAGTCTACAGTAGGCTCACTTTTACGTCTGTAATTTTTATGGCCTGCAGTGTTATAAATATACAAACGGCCCACGGCAGAAGGTTTACATTCCTGGTCTAAAGGGTGGGCTGTGCCTGCTGCGGGGAGCCCCTCCCACTCACCACTGATCTCAGACTACCAGGCCTCAGCATTCAGGCTTCCCGGGCTCCAGTCTCTCCTCACCTGACACTGTGACCCAGCTTCCTCTCTCCCAGTTCCTCCCAGCCCCAGACACCCCTCGAGAAGATCCTTCTGCACAACCTTCTTCTTCCTGCTCCTGAGTGAACGGGCCCCTGGCAGGAAATCCGAAGGTTCCGGAACCAGGCTTTCACACAGGTTGGAGAAAGGTGGCAGCCCACGCATACAGGTGAGGACACGGAGCCACAGAGAAGAGTGTGGACATGCACAAGGAGCTGGAGGTGAGAGAGCCGTGTGAACAGGCCCAACAGAACAGGACGGCAGAGCAGGACCAGCCCTGAAGACCATCTCCACGGCCTCCCACGCCTCACACACACACCGCTCTGGCTTTTAGGTCAGCAGGCGGATTGCCTAAACACCACCAAGTCAGGAGCAGAGCTGGGGCTTCACCCCCATCCCACTCGCTACTCTGCCCACTGGTTCTGGCAGCCATTACTGACACTGCGAAGTTCTCCTTTCAGAAGTCACAGGCAACGTGAGAAATCCACCGAGGGGCTGAGTTCACATCCACCTTCGCCAGCTGCTCAAAGGGAAAGAGTCTTCCTGACACGGGGCCAGCCCTGGCCTGATGTCAGCACTCGGACAGCCAGCTGCCGGGAAAGGCATAGCCCAAACGCAACACAGAGAGGCCCAGCCAGGCGAGACGCGTGAGCACACAAGTGCATGCTAAATGACCTTCTCACAGGGTGTTCTGTTTTAAAGGCAGACTGACACACAGAGAGAGACACAGACAGACAGACAGGAATACCAAGTGATCTCCCATCTGCTGGTACACTCCCCAAATGCTTACAACAGCCAGAGCTGGGCCAGGCCGAAGCCAGGAAATCGATCAGGCTCTCCCACGTGGGTGGCAACGACCCAAGCACTGGAGCCATCATATGCTGAGTCCCGGGTGTGCGCGAGCAGGAAGCTCAGGGGAGCAGAGGCAGGACTCGCACCAGGCACCAGGGTACGGGATCTGGGCTACGTCACAATGCCACCCCGTAATTTAGACAAAAAGCTAAGATCTAACGGATGGCATTAGAAAGGAAGGAGGGCTGATGATACTAGCAGAGTTGTAACCCTGAAGGACAGTCCAAAGACGTCACATGTGAGCTCGTAAAGGGGACAGACAGGGTCGGACCTCAGCACCACTTAACGTGGCAGTGGCTGAAGGTTCTGCAGTTGGTGTGATGATGGGGAGGAGCGGGGCCGCTAGAAATGATATGAAACTAAGTTTTCTACAGGGAAAAACTGTGCACTTCAATGCGCAGAATGTATGCTTGAGACAAAGACGACAGGGACTTGGGTGCCCTGAAATCATCCAGAGGCAAAGGCAGAGCTGAGGGGAGACGAGCAAGCCGGCAGCAGCACACTGGGACCGCTGCTCGCGAAGGCCCCGAGGTCGCCCAGTGGGAGCAGTGACCGTGCCGCGGCAGGCCAGGCTGGGCTCGGCCGGGCCCTGAGGTCGCCCAGTGGGAGCAGTGACCGTGCCGTGGCAGGCCAGGCTGGGCTCGGCTGGGCCCTGAGGTCGCCCAGTGGGAGCAGTGACCGTGCCACAGCAGGCCAGGCTGGGCTCGGCTGGGCCCTGAGGTCGCCCAGGGGGAGCAGTGACAATGCTATGACAGGCCAGGCTGAGCTCGGCCGGGCCCTGAGGGCGCCCAGTGGGAGCAGTGACCGTGCCGCGGCAGGCCAGGCTGGGCTCGGCTGGGCCCGGCTGGGCCCTGAGGTCGCCCAGGGGGAGCAGTGACAATGCTATGACAGGCCAGGCTGGGCTCGGCCAGGCCCCGAGGTCGCCCAGTGGGAGCAGTGACCATGCCACAGTGGGCCAGGCTGGGCTCGGCTGGGCCCTGCGGTCGCCCAGTGGGAGCAGTGACCGTGCCGCGGCTGGCCAGGCTGGGCTTGGCCGGGCCCTGAGGTCACCCAGTGGGAGCAGTGACAATGCTGTGACAGGCCAGGCTGGGCTCAGCCGGGCCCCGAGGTCGCCCAGTGGGAGCAGTGACCGTGCCGCGGCGGGCCAGGCTGGGCTCGGCCGGGCCCCGAGGTCGCCCAGTGGGAGCAGTGACCGTGCCGCGGCAGGCCAGGCTGGACTTGGCCGGGCCCTGAGGTCGCCCAGTGGGAGCAGTGACCGTGCCGCGGCGGGCCAGGCTGGGCTCGGCCGGGCCCTGAGGTCGCCCAGTGGGAGCAGTGACAATGCTGTGACAGGCCAGGCTGGGCTCAGCCAGGCCCCGAGGTCGCCCAGTGGGAGCAGTGACCGTGCCGCGGCGGGCACTTTCCACAGACTGCTTTTTCACTCACTAGAAACAACTTGCAATTTACCTGCCGGTAACAAGTTCAGTCCCTCTGGCAGGATTTCAAATCCTTTTGTGCAGTGCAACTCCCCAGGAGCTGTGTGTGATCCTGGAGGCCAATCAGAAAAATAAGACTTCTCTGGTTTTAAGTTACTTCTGGAATTAAAACAGGACCCAGGCTTTCCAACAGAAACAATGGAAAAGCTCCATATTCTGCCATCTTGCAGCTCAGAGTAAATTCCAGACATGCCTGCCTCCCACCAGGGGGTTGTTGTCTGGCCCCCACAAGGCCGCCTGCCCGCTACAGAGGCTGAGAGCACACTGCCCGACCCGTCCAGCCCTCACGCCCACAGGAGATGCCCAGGGCACGTGGCTGGAGGGACTGCCAGCTTTTCATTCTTTTTCATAAAAAGGCAGCTGCCTAATTCCAGTCCTAGGAAGGGTTCCCCAAATGCACTTCAGCGAATTCAAATCAAGAAGGCATTAGGCTGCCTCGCACTGCCTGCAATCACAGAGAGCCTTGGGCACTGCTGAAATCCCTGAGAAAGGAGCTGCCAGCCAAGCGTGTGATCATACCTGTTTCCAGAAGACTTTATTTAATGGGGCGGGAGGGGGGAGGGTGTGCTGTATGTAAACTCTGAAAATCTTACACATAAACAACGAGAGGCCAACTACACAGCACAGAATCTGGCTCAAGTTCAGGTCTCTTTGCTGTGGCCAAACACCAATGGCCTGGGAGCTGCTGCAGAGGCGCCCGTGCCCAGCACCTGGGGACCCCGAGAGCAGAGGGGTGTGGCCGCACCCACCGGAACTGGTTCTTCTTTGCACAAAGGAAATAATCCCCCCCCCATTCAAAGCCTATGGTAAATCCTGCAACACTATAACCTGAAGAATTAACTACAAAACTTACTCTAAAAATATTTTCAGGAAGTGAAACTCCAGACACAAAGCGGGGATGAGGTACAACTGAACACGTGATCAACAGTCAGGCCCAACCAGGAGTTAGAACATCAGGCTGCCGGGCACCCAGGGACAAACCTCCAGAAAGCCACCAGAACGCGTGCTTCCTGAGATGTTGCCAAGCGGCTCCTCACACAATTATTGACGAGGATATAATATTTTCCCTTAGCTGATCATCTTTTCTAAGATGAACATTTGGTTGTATTATGCAAAAGAGCAAATGAATAAACGATTTTTTAAAAAGTAAATGCCAGACCGGCACTGGGGCTCAGTGGGCTAAGCCTCCACCTGCAGCGCTGGAATCCCACCTGTGCGCTGGTTAGAGTCCAGCTTTTCCTCTTCTGGTCCAGCTCTCTGCCAAACCTGGGAAGGCAGTGGAGGATGACCCAAGTCTTTGGGTCCCTGCACCCACATGGGAGACCCAGAAGAAGCACTGCTCCTGGCTTCAGGTCCGCTAAGCTCCGGCCATTGCTGCCAACTGGGGAGTGAACCAGCGGGTGGAAGACCTCTCTCTCTCTCCCCGCTTCTCCTTCTCTCTCTGTGTAACTCTGACTTTCAAATAAATAAATAAATTCTTAAAATAAAAAAAAAAAATGATGCAAGAAGGAAGACCCAGGAATCCTTTAAAAATAAATAAATAAATGCCTACAAATGCCAAATTAATGAGAGAACTGGAAATATTTCTATGGCTTAACGTGCAACTGTACAGAAGCCCAGTCTGGAAAAGACCTCCACTTTCCACCTTGCCTGTCCAGCAGAAAGTACTGCGTAAGTGTATCTGTCCATCTCCTACTGTACACACCAGACTAAAACTGCTCACAACAAAGCACTCTCCCCGAACAGACACATCCACAAAGGAGGAAGCCCACAGCTACAAAGCAGCCACAAGCCTATCTTTTTTCTGGTTTCACTGTGCATGGTTAGGACACCCCTTATTATTTAAATAGAATAATTTAAACAATTATGCTGCGAGCCCACCAGTATTAACCTGAGGGGCTAGGTCTTAGGCAGCAGGTGGGAATAATCCTGAGAGCATTGTCCATCAGCTTTTATTGGGTTCCTCCTAAAAATGTAAGCATTAGGCAAAGGCATTTTGAAAGAAGCTTATAAAAATAAGACGTTCGCAGGGCCGGTACCGCAGCTCACTAGGCTAATCCTCCGCCTGTGGCACCGGTACCCCGGGTTCTAGTCCTGGTTGGGGCGCTGGCTTCGGTCCCGGTTGCTCCTCTTCCAGTCCAGCTCTAAGGCAGTGGAGGATGGCCCAAGTGCTTGGGCCCTGCACCTGCATGGGAGACCAGGAGGAAGCACCTGGCTCCTGGCTTCAGACTGTAGCGGCCACTTGAGGGGTGAACCAACAGAAAAAGGAAGACCTTTTTCTCTGTCTCTCTCTCTAACTCTGCCTGTCAAAAAGAAAAAAAAAAAAATAGGACGTTTAGTGAGACACTGAACCTGAGCTTGGGATTGCTTGGCCCCCTGGGAAGTGCAGCCCTTTCATCTCAGCGTGATTGCTAAGGCTCTGAAGTCTGTGACCCTGACTCTTGCCCCCATCTCCACTCCAACCCTACAGACCTGGGGGAGGACATGGAGGCTTCTGGTCCACACAGGCTGGCACGAAAGTCACCCACTCTGACACACTCAAAAAACATTGTTTTCACACTCAAGCAGAGTGGAAACTCAGTTGGTTCTCCCATATTTTCTAAATCACAAATTACATTTATTTCTTTTTTCTTAAGATTTATTCATTTGAAAGGCAGAGCTACAGAGAGGCACAGGCAGAGAGAGACAGTGAGAGAGAGAGAGGTCTTCCATCTGCTGGTTCACTCTCCAAATGGCCACAATGGCAGGAGCTGGGCCAATCCGAAGCCAGGAGCCAGGAGCTCCTTTCTGGGTCTCCCACATAGGTATAGGGGCCCAAGCACCTGGGCCATTCTCCACTGCCTTCCCAGGGCATAGCAGGGAGCTAGATTGGAAGTGGAGCAGCCAGGACTCGAACCAGCACCCATATAGGATGCCAGCACTGCAAGTGGCGGCTTTACACCCTATGCCACAGTACCAGCCCCACAAATTACATTTAAATTCAGCTCTGGACTTTATTTCTCCTAATAGATCTCCACTTAAAACGCCTATTCAAGGCCGGCGCCGCAGCTCACTAGGCTAATCCTCCGTCTTGCGGCACCGGCACACCGGGTTCTGTCCCGGTTACCCCTCTTCCAGGCCAGCTCTCTGCTGTGGCCAGGGAGTGCAGTGGAGGATGGCCCAAGTACTTGGTAAGACCAGGAGAAGCACCTGCCTTCGGATCAGCACGGTGAGCCGGCCGTGGCGGCCATTGGAGGGTGAACCAACGGCAAAAGAAGACCTTTCTCTCTGTCTCTCTCTCTCTCACTGTCCACTCTGCCTGTAAAAACAAACAAACAAACAAACAAAAAACACCTATTCAGCCAAGCTTTCTCAGAGGTGGCTGCCTGTCCCTGACTCCTGTTCACACTCAGCACAAGCAGGCATGTGGCACAGCAGTTACGATGCAGGTCGAGACTCCTACATCTACCAGAGTGCCTGGTTCGAGTCCCAGTTTCTCTGCCTTCTTTTTTTTTTTTTTTTTAAGATTTATTTATTTTACTTGAAAGAGTTACACAGAGAGAGAAGAGGCAGAGAGAGAGAGAGAGAGAGAGAGAGAGAGAGAGAGAGAGAAAGGTCCTCCATCCAATGGTTCACTCCCCAACTGGCCGCAACGACCTGAGCTGCGCCGATCCTAAGCCAGGAGCCAGAAGCCTCCTCCAGGTCTCTCACGCAGTGCAGGGGCCCAAGTACTTGGGCCACCCTCCACTGCTTTCCCAGGCCACAACAAAGAGCCGGATAGGAAGTGGAGCAGCCGGGTCTCGAACCGGTGCCCATATGGGATGCCGGTGCTTCAGGCCAGGGCGTCAACCCTCTGTGCCACAGCGCCGCCCCAGCTTCTCTGCTTTCTATCCCGCTCCCTGCTAAGGCACACTCAAGGTGGCGGCAGGCAAGACCCAGGTGGAGTTCCGGGCTCTCAGCTTTGGTCTGGCTCAACCCTGGCTGTTGCAGGCATTTAGGAAGTGAATCAGACGATGGGAGATCTCTTGCTTGTCTCTCCGCCTTTCACACAAAATGAAAATAAATAAAAATTCAAATTTAGCACAAGCTCATTATTCTTGCCAGACTGGGGGAAAAAAAACAACTCTAATATTTTGTAAAGTTTCCGGAATAGCGGTGAAGCAGACGAGGATCTGAGTGTTTTCCCGGGTGCGTTTTAGCTGCGGGACATTCCGTCCTAGACTGCAGGGTCAGAACGCAAGCTCCCAGGAAGGCAATCTGCCCGGAGGAACGAACTGTGAAGACCAGGCCTGCTGCGGAAAGGCCCGGCCGCTGGTGGAAGAGACGTGGAGAACCTGCATTTCATGAAGAACAAACGGGGTGGGGGGAGGAGGACAGACAGGAGAGAGGCAGGGAGGACTGATGTGAAGAGCCAGCCCCGGCCCTACATACGACGCCCTGCTGTCTCCAGGGACTGTCTCATGTCACCCTGTGCTGACACCTGCTCTCCCTTTCACCCACGTCGGGGTGGAAGGATGCCCACAGGGAACACACAAAGCCAGGGGCAGAGCTCAGAGGACAGGACCCGAAAGGCAGCAGGAGAGAAGGTCTCACTGCAGACAGCTGATTCCCACGTGGTGACGCACAGCCCTCGGGACAGAGCAGGTCCAGCACAGAAATCCACTGTGACCACGCGACCACCGCGCAGCCCTTGGGCCAGGACTCAATGAATGTGAAACAGCCCAGCTCCAGGCAGACCCTCTGTCCTCAGGGCGAGGAGTGGGAGTATGTACGTCAAGAATGCTGCCCAGCGCCTGGCACAGACTCAATAAATGGAATCAATTGTAGGAGTACCCGCAGCAGACTCTGCTGAACAAACGACAGAAACCCCAGCCGGCAAGGCTGAGCTGTCAGCATGTGTTCCTTCTTAGAAAGACAATGCAGTGCTGCTCCCACTAACAATCCCTAATTCAGCCACTTGCTTTCTCCCTTTGTCCTACGCTGACTCACAGGATCCCACCCAGATCTCCTGTAGGCAGCAGGGGAGGAGAACCCTGTCCTTGCTCAGTGACGTGCCACCAACGTGCACTCACGTGAACAGGGTTCAGCTGTGAGCTACTGAAGTCCCACCCCAAGACTTCACTGCTTCTCGCCAAATGCTCAAACGCTCACACCTAAGTTTTAAAATTAAGTGGCCCAAACTTTCGGGAAGGAGACCCTAGACTCTTGAGAATCAGCCAGCACTTAAGGCCCCTCTCCCCCAGAGAGTCACCAACAGACGTTAAATACGACACGTGGTAGACAACGCCAGGGCTCAGGGGCTGGGAGCCTACGTGGGCACTGTGCACCACAGGAAGGGGGCACCGGTGGGATCCCTGAAAACGACTCCAAATGTGCAACAAAGATGTTGCACAGACTAATCTGGACATTTGCTTCCTTAAATTCACTGTGGCATAGCAGGTAAAGCCTGCGGCGCCGGCATCCCATATAGGTGCCAGTTCGAGTCCCATTGCTCCACTTCCCATCCAGCTCCCTGCTAACGCCCCCAGGACAGCAGTAGAAGATGGTCCAAGTACTTGGGCCCCTGTACCCACATGGGAGACCCAGAAGAAGCTCCTAGCTTCAGTCAGGACCAACCCTGGCCATTGCGACCATTTGGGGAGAGAACCAAAGAATGCAAGACCTCCCTCCCTCTCCCTCTCTCTCTCTCTCTGCCTCTCCCTGTCTTTAACTCCGCCTGTCAAGAAACACCGCAGAGATCAGGCTGCACACAGCTCTGAAGAGGCTCCCGGTCACTTTCACGGCTGTCTGAAAACTCACTAAGAGGATGTATCAGAAATGCATGCAAAATGTCACTTCCACAAAATCCGGTGCTCACGAGAAGGGAACCACACGACGGTTAAGACAGGAAAACAGGAAGAAAACACTGAACCCTCCACTTGGACAATGAGCGACTTGGTAAGCTGTCTACTTCTGTCCAAGCACATCAGCAAGTCGAATGCCGAGTTTTCCAACCCACCATGCTCCGCACCCACAGGCGTCCTACAGTGGCTGGCAAGTGAACCAGGACAGCCGCCAGGGGCCCAGCAGGTCTGGCTCTGGAGGAATTCTTCCGTGCTGGGATGTGCATGCAGCAGAGACCCAGAGAAGCCCCTTACTCTCCCCGCATTCAGAATCCATGTAATTCACTCCACACCACCCAGGCAAAGCCTAAGGACTGTAAAAGAACACAGCTACTGGCCCCGTCATGTTTCTGGAACTGTGCTAAGCCAAAGGATGACAGAATTCTCACAGAATGGACTGTCCTGCTGCCTACGGTGACAACGGCACGAACCAAAGGTCAGGGTGCCGGCCACGCTCCACAGAGGCACCCGATGCTCCCGGCAGCCCTGCAGGTCTCATCCCCAACTTCACAGGGCGCAACCTGCAGATCCAAGCACACAGAGCAACCCAGAGCTGGGGTTTCGATGCAGCCTCTTCCCTCCAAGGCTGCGTCTAGCTTGCCAAGACACATTCCACACTGCACACCTCCTGACACTCAGCTGTAGCTGGGTCTGCAACCCTCACCTTCTCACCTCCACCCACTTCAAACAAGCTATCTGTGTGCAGGGTACATGTCTATTAGTATTTCACTCAGAGGCAACAGTGAAGAATGCCCACGCAGTGTATTCCAGCCCTGGCTTAAAAGAATTTTTGGTAGTTTTTCATTAGCCATTCACCATGGAAGCAAAGCTCATCAATTCCATACACTTTTTTTTTTTTAAAGATTTATTTATTTTACTTGAAAGTCACAGTTACAGAGACGTAGGAAGGAGAGGCAGAGAGCAAGAGAAAGCGGTCCTCCATCCGCTGGCTCACTCCCCAACTGGCCACAACAGCCAGAGCTGCGCTGGTCCACAGAGTTTCTTCTACTGCCTTCCCAGGCCATAGCATACAGCTGGATCGGACGTGGAGCAGCCAGGACTCGAACTGGCGCCCACATGGGATGCCGGCACAGCAGGCGGTGGCTTTACCTGCTACGCCACAGCACCGGCCCCTACACACACTTCTTTAAATTAAAAATTTAAATGTATTTATTTCAGAGGCAGAGAGCAAGCACATTCCTATCTGCTGGTTCACTCCCCAAGTCTCCACAACAACCAGGACTGGGCCAGGCTGAAGCCAGGAGCTGGGCTGGAGATCAAGGCTCCACCTACCACATGGGTGACAGGGACCCAGTCACCTGAGCCACCGCCACCGCCACCTGGAGTCTGCACCGGCAGGAAACAAGTCAGAGGCTGGAGCCAGACAGTGAACCCCGACAGGGCGATGTGGGACACAGGCGTCTCGCGTGGTGTCTGCTCGACAATCACGCAAGGGATTTCCAAGACCTGTTTCTCTACAACTTAAGAGGGTCGGAAACAGCACTTTAATACTGGGCACACTCCACTGTGATCACAAGTTTGTCCTGGCATTGAGTCATCTTTATTACTTTCTATTCTGAATTCCTAACTTTATCATCTTGAAGGAATCCTAACTGCAGAGATATTTACCAAGTCTAACTCAGCACACCTAGGGCCCACCTTCCACGGGAAGGGTACTTCATGGGGTAGCATTCAGCAGCCAGCCAAGGTCCTAAGAGCAGAAGACTTGGAATCCTAAGCCTCTTACTAGGAAACCCAACCAGGACAGAGACTGCTGATGGCGTGCCGGTCATTTTTACTCATTTTGTGGAGGCCAGGGTGAAGCAACGCTGACTTCTGTTCCAGTGTTAATCCTACACAGACAAGCACATCAAGTGTTGGCAGACAACCAGGCTGGCCCACGTGTACAGCAGGTCCTACCCGGCACGGCCAGCAGCACAAGCCTGCACCAGGAGCACACGAGTCAGAGCTCTGCCATGGCCAACGCGAATATCCAGGCGCCCAGGGACCGCCGAGGGCCTCACCCTCACGGGGACCGCCGAGGCCCTCACCCTCACGGGGACCGCCGAGGCCCTCACCCTCACGGGGACCGCCGAGGCCCTCACCCTCACCCTCTCGGGGACCACAGACGCTGCTGAGAGCCAGCACGCCCTTTATTCCTCTGAGAATCGCATCCATGAAAAAAACAAAATAGAGCCAGAAAGGCACTTCTATACCCAGGACAGGCAGGGGAACGAAAACTGAACCGTCAAGTAAACAAAAGGCCCTGACACCTCAGTGGCCCTTTCTACACTGTGCTGCAGAAGCTCTGTGGGTCCAAGCACAGCTCAACAAACCAGTTCGCCTTCATTTTTGTGGCATGTGGTGTCTTAGGAAAGCTCCGAAAGACTGCACCAAGAGGTAGGATTATAAATACAAGAGGAAAAGATCCTTTATCACTGTAGCTTCAGTAAGAAAAAGGGGGAGGAAGAAGCTTAGTCCAAGCTGTGTTTGTTTTCTTTTCATCCAGAGAAAACAGTCCTCTGCAAGGACACACTGCAGCGCGTAACTAATTCATCAGGGGTAAAACTGGGTTTTGGTTGTTCAGACACTGATTAAACTGATAAGACCACATAAAACTGAAAGTTTTGGAAATACCAAATTAGTAAGAATTTTACATGTCATAATCTTATTTTAGAAACGGTGGCTATTTTGATAAACCACAGACACAGTATGATTATTCTATCATTAGAATGGACGCCCTGCAACAGCTCTCTGGGTCTTAAAACCAGTGTGTTGCTACTTTTAACACAGAACATTTAAATGCACATTCATCAGCTTATTAAAACTTCCATCACAAGCATATTTCACTTCAGGATCACGTGAGTGGGAACAGTTACAATAAACACTTGAGGGGGCCAGCGCTGTGGCGGAGCGGGTAAAGCTGCCACCTGCAGTGCTAGCATCCCATCTGGGCACCGGTTCAAGCCCTGGCTGCTCCACTTCCGATCCAGCTCCCTGCTATGGCTGGGAAAGCAGAAGATGGCCCAAGTCCCCGGGCCCCTGTACCCACGTGGGAGACCCAGAGGAAGCTTCTGGCTCCTGACTGGCACAGCTCCGGCTGTTAAGGCCATCTGGGGAGTGAACCAGCGATGTTACACGTCTTTCTCTGCCTCTCCAATAAATAAATAAATCTTTAAAAAAATTTTAAAATAAATGCTTGAGAACACAGAATTTTCAGAATCCCTCAGGACGTTTTGTTCTCAACATAGGCCTGAAGTTTTTAACTTTAAAAAAAGTTACTTCCTCCTAGTTTTTGGAGAAAATGGAGAACAGAAAACACCTGAGACGCCTGAAAACAGTAAACAGATTCCCCAGAGGCAGGTGCCCGGGCTCACTGACTCCTCAAGGACCAGTGGAGAAGGCACACTCAGCACGAGTTTCAGTAGACAAAGCACTTACATTCCACACAACTTCAACATGTTTTTATTAAAATCTTACATCCCAAAGAATGGGCACAGGTAACGAAAAATCAACCCCTGCCCCTTTTGAGGAAAACCCAAGTATGCAACTGTGGGGTGCGAGGCCTCACACAGAGAGGCAGCTAGAACACAGCAGTTTACCAGCAAACAAAACCTCTTCAGAAGGCACTGCTTCAAATCCTCCCACGGTGTGCCTTTTAAAGGGAAACAAAAAATATAAAAAGCTATACAGCAAGGCTGGCACTTGGAATGGTGGGAAGGCCACTGCCTGCAACGCCAATATCCCATTTGGATCCGGTTTGAGTCCCAGCTGCTCCACTTACGATCCAGCTCCCTGCTGATGGCCTGGGAAAGCAGTGGAAGACGGCCCAAATACTTGGGCCCCTGGACCAGCATGGGAGGCCCAGAAGCTCCTGGTTCATAGCTTCAGACTGGTACAACTCCGGCCACTGTGGCCATCTGGGGAGTAAGCCAGCAGAAGACAGACCTCTCTCTGTCTCTCCCTTTCTCTCTCTAACTCTGCCTTTCAGACAAATTAAAAAAAAAAAAAAAATTGAAAAGTGGGGGTGGGGTGGGGTGGCGCTGAGGTGTAGCAGGTAAAGCCACCACCTGCAGTGCCAGCATCCCATATGGACGCCGGTTTGAGCCAGGCTGTTCCACTTCCAATCCTACTCTCTGCTATGGCCTGGGAAAGCAGTAGAAGATGCCCAAGTCCTCGGGCCCCTGCACCTGTGTGGGAGACCTGGAAAAGGCTCCTGGTTCCTGGCTTTGGATCAGCCCAGCTCCAGCCATTGCAGCCATCTGGGGAGTGAACCAGCAGACGGAAGACCTCTCTCTCTCTCTCTGCCTCTGCCTCTCTGGTAACTTTCAAATAAATAAATAAAATAAATAAATAAAAAATCTTAAAAAAAAAAAAAGCTATTGCCCCAAATTAAACATTTTGGCAAAACAAACCTTCAAGACCCTAAACTTTGGTGTCACATCCTAAAACAGGGAAAGACTCAACAAGGATCTCACTAAATCACATCCACCAGTAACTCAGAGCTGCACACGAAACTGAAGCACGCGTGACCCACAGCACTCAGCTCAAGGAAGCGCTGAACTCGGGTTCACCCGTGAGCAGCCAGCCACTGGCATCAGAAAGACAGCACTGCCGAGGGCCCTGCACACCCGGTCACCCAGAGCTCGCCAGCTCGCCAGCAGACTGACGGCGCCCGTGGTCTCCGCCTCAGGCTCTCCACACGGGCACGGCTGGGGGGGGGGGGGGGGTGGCACACGATGCCTCTGTTTTTACAATTCTGAAACTGATGACAAAATAATGTAAAACCTCAAAGGAAATCTTCATAAAAAGCTCAAACTGACATCGTCAGATAACCACTTCAGACAACAGGTAGCAAGGAGCATAAATACAGTGTGTGTCTAACATCCACAGTTACCCAGAAACACCCGAGGCAGCAACACCTGAAGGCGCCAGTTCTCCACGGGATTCAGGCTCATTCTATAATGTGCAGTGAAAATTCACCCTGGCTAATTAGTAAAGCCAACACAACACCACTACTTCTACCAAGTGACCACCCTACTGAGAAGTGTCATGAACAAAAAAGAGATTTAGGCAGGGTAGAGTCGCTCACTTGATACCCCAGCAACCGCGGACCAAGCATGTCACCCCTCTGAGCACCACCTCCCGTACCCACAACCGCAGACCAATCACGTCACCACTCTGAGCACCACCTCCCGTACCCAGGAACCACGGACCACGCACGTCACCCCTCTGAGCACCACCTCCCGTACCCAGGAACCGTGGACCACGCACGTCACCCCTCTGAGCACCACCTCCCGTACCCAGGAACCGTGGACCACGCACGTCACCCCTCTGAGCACCACCTCCCGTACCCAGGAACCGCGGACCACACACATCACCCCTCTGAGCACCACCTCCCGTACCCAGCAACCACGGACCACGCACGTCACCCCTCTGAGCACCACCTCCCGTACCCAGCAACCATGGACCACGCACATCACCCCTCTGAGCACCACCTCCCGTACCCAGCAACCGCGAACCACGCACGTCACCCCTCTGAGCACCACCTCCCGTACCCAGGAAGCACGGACCAAGCACGTCACCCCCCTGAGCACCACCTCCTGTACCCACAACCGCGGACCAAGCACGTCACCCCCCTGAGCACCACCTCCCGTACCCAGGAACCGTGGACCACGCACGTCACCCCTCTGAGCACCACCTCCCGTACCCACAACCGTGGACCACGCATGTCACCCCTCTGAGCACCACCTCCCGTACCCACAACCGTGGACCAAGCACGTCACCCCTCTGAGCACCACCTCCTCTTCTCCGAAGAGGACACTCTCCACTCTGGCATCACTGGGAGGACATCAGGACGGTACAAAGCTGATTCAGGGCTACAAACAGCCAGGCCCTGCTTCATCACACAGTGACACGATGGGCGGAGAAGCAGCACATCCTGCCGCGTCCATAACAAACAGCATCAGGATGAACGAACTCAGTCGGGCGCTCCTGGGACATACGGCACGGCCTGGCCGCTCCACCTGAGCCCACATCAGTGTTCACTGAAGTCCACCTCCACCCTGGTGTTCTTGGGGTGTTCATCCAGAGGCAACTTCACCCCCACAAACTGCAGCCTTCTCTCAGAACGCCGAGAACACCAAGCTCACGGTTCTAGCGGCCATCTGTGAACTGGAACGCGACACTGCCCAAGGAAAGGAAACACCACAGGAATTTAAAAAGCAATGAAAAAAAAATCTGTAATCTGGAAAAAGAATCTAGTGTTCATGTTTACAGAAACCACAGGACATTATCTTTTTTATAAACTTTCAAATGACAAATGGATTTTTTAAAAAACCGAACTAAATTATTTTAAACTCACTGTTCTAAGGGTCTTGTTATATTTTACCTTCATAAACGTCACCGTTTTCCAGCCTTTTTTTCTGTTAGGCAAGTCTCACCTTCTAATTTACATACAGACAGAACCGCAACAGCTCCTTCAGAACAGAGCCCAGCACAGCTCCTAACACACGGCAGCACCGCCTTTCAAAGTTTTCAACCAGAGCATATGTGAGGATTTTTGCAAATTCATCCAAATACAGCTGAAAATTTTTGCAAAAGGTTTTGAAAAAGTTTAATTAATCCACATAATTTCCCTGTGAACAAGGTATATGTAAGCAAAACTCAAGGGCACAAAACAAAAATCCTGGCCGACAGTGGACGTGCCATGCTCCACTGGAAGGCAGAGAGCGACGGCAAGGACAGGTCCTCCACACCTGGCCAACCAGGCTACCGCTCCCGTTCCCCTCACAACAGGCACTCGAGCCCCGGGGCGAGCCACGGAACGCCATACCGAGCTGCCCCACACCCTGCTCCCGCCTCTGCCCAGGACCGCGGCCAAGTGCCTTGCAGGTCAGTGGCCACAGGAGGGGGCCCCAGACACCCCAAATCGTGGCTGGGCCTCGGTCACTGAGTGTGGGAGGAGCCTGAGACGGAGGGCGGCCGGCTGCCGGCTGCCGGGAAGGTCAGGAGCTCCTATCCCAGGGATGCCCAGCCACTTCTAACTGTAAGAGGAACCGGCGTTGTCCCTGGTCCTGCTCCTGTCCACCGCAGGCGGCAGCCTAGAACAGCACACTGGGGAAAAGGCACGGGAAACCGGGCTTCGCGCTCTGTGACACTCGCTGGCACAGTGACGTGGGACAAGCTATCCAACCCCTGGAGCTGGTAAAAACCCCAAGTCCAGACCTAAACGAGAAAGCTTTTGGGGGTGCTCGGCACACCACAGGACCCCTGATCCTGCCGGGCCACAGCACCTGACACCTGTGTCGCCTCAGAACTTCCCTGGACACCTCTGTCCACCTGCTGTCAGGCAGCTGCCTGTGGCCTGCCAAGTCCCTCGGAGGGGCAGCTCCAGGGCTGCTCATCACTCCTCTCCTTCCTCCATTTCCGTCTCCCATGCCCGCCCCCAAGCACTGCCTCCTGCCCATCCCAGACCCGCGACCCAGAACCCCCACTGAGCGCGGCTTGCCCTGGCTGCAGGGACACACGCTGGACTCTGCCAGGAGGAGTCAGCGCCTGCTGTCGTCACCTCTCCCAGGGCCCCAGCCGGCCCTGCCACGCAAGGTAGGGCCTGGCAGAGGAGGGGCCGGCGTGACCACCCACAGAGCTGACTCCTAACTCAGAACACTTGTGTGGGTTCCCGCACAAGCAGGACAGCTAACAGGTCGCCAAGCTGGGTCCCTTCTTCCTGGGGCACAGCCTGTGCCCCTAGACATTCCTCAGACAGGACCTCTCTGAGGATACCACACCCTACCCCCAACCCCCACCCCAGACGCGCTGACGTCACAAGACCTGTCTTCTCTGGCCACGGTCCTCCACTCCAGTGTCACCACACACAAGCAGCAGCCTCTCACATCTTGGCTCTCTGCGCTAACACCAGCACTCCGAACAGAGAGCCCGACCAACACCGGATCAGCAGGTCAGGGAGCCCGCCATGGCCCCTCCGACGCCTTCCTCCACGCTGGAACACCCCAGCTCCCTGGCCAGCTCAGCCCAGCAACCTGTCCTCTGCCTCCCGGGACGCAGCCGCCCTCACAGCCTGCGCCCTTCAGGGAGCTCTGCCTCCGCCTGAGTCAGCCCTGCACTCGGGTCTCTCACCTCCCGAAGTGAGTCCTCGGTCACTCACTACAGCTGGGGAAGAATTTCAAATATGTGCAATTTCAAAAAACTGGAGTGTTTTGCACAGCACCGGGATTTTTACTGGAACACTTCTGATTGCAGAGATGGGGGAAGCATTTCCTCTTAAAGCTGACTCTGACGTCACTGTGCCGCCACGAATGACTAAATGTCACCTCTGTAAAGACTTACAAACAAGCCGATATTCTCAAGCACCACCCCTAGGGTTTGCAGTGAGGATTACCTGCCGCCAGGATGCGGCAGGAAGACCTCTGCTCTACACGGGCCACTGCTGGTTTTGTCACAATCTGTCTTCTTACTGTCTGGCTATCAGGTATAAGCCATCTGCTGCTATAAATGACTCTGCTCGCCTTCTGATTTGCTGGGAACAGTGAGTCCACCAGAAGGGAACTGCCCTAAAAGGAGAGAACAGAGCGGGGTTCTCCCGTGGGGAAAGCCAGGGGGAAGGGCCCTAGTGCTTTCTAATTCTTTTTGGAAACAGAGACAGAGAACTCCCTTCGGCGGGCTCCCTCCCAAAACGCTCACTTTGCCCTAGGGCCCAAACCTGAAACCCAGAAATTAATCCAGTTTTTTTTTAGGGGTGCCAAGATTCCCACCCCCCCCCGGGACCCCCCCCCCCGGGCCCCCAAGAGCCCCCCTCCCCGTGCTCTTCTGGAGTTTACACAATTCCCCCGTAAGTCCTGCCGGGGTACCCAACCCCCAATTCAGCTGTTCCTCACGGGGGGGGGGGGGGGGGGGGGGGCCCTGCCGAGAGCAGCAGGAAGCTGATCCCTTGCTCCACAGCCTCCCTGAGAGGTGGCCATGTCAGAGCCAGGGGACCGTGCCTCAGGAGGCGACACGACTTGCCCGACGTCACGCGGCTGGCAGACACCAGGCGTGCCGAGTTTCCTCCCTCCCACGGAGCACGCGTGTAGCCCACTGGGGCTCCCTCAGGTTGCACCAGCCCCAGGAAAGGCTCTCCCGGCGCGGACAGCGGGCAGGGCTGCACCGTGGCTGCCACGGCTGCACGCCACGAGAGCGCGTGCTGACTCCAGGGAGCTCGCACGGCAACGAACAGGGACGGGGACTCAGACGACGAGGAGCACTTCTGAACTTAGCCTTTCCTATGTGGTTCTATGGATGATAACCTTCCTATGATTCCTAAAACCACCTCCAACACCTGACCCTGAACGCCCTCCCTCCCTCTCTGCCTGCCCCATCCAGGAACTTTTCAAGTCAAATCTGCCTGTGGCCGTTCCAACATGTGGAAGCTGCAGCTGACTTCCAAAACCAAGGATTCCCAGTTTAATTTGCAGTTAAAAACACCTACTGTGTGTACTTGTTCGGCCCAGAGCACAACTGCATGATCTGTGGTCAGAGACGAAACGCACTGTGTTCTCACAGCACCGTGTTCTAGTCCTGCCCCACACGCTGTCCGAGTCTCTGCCCATCGTCGAGGATTCACTGAGGGCCGCCCCGGTCAGCTACTCCTGATGGAGCTTGGCCTCCCTCACCTCCAAGCCTAAGGAGCCATGGGGCCATTCTGCGCACCTCTGCTGCGCAGCCTAGCAGAGTGTCTCGAACCAATGAGTTATGAGAGAGAGAGAGAGAGGGAGAGAGGGAGGGAGGGAGGGAGGGAGGGAGGGAAGAGAGAGCGCAGAGCCACTCTCTACATGCAGGAGTCGGGCTTTCGCTGCCCAGATAGGCCGCGGGTCCCCCAGGGCTCTGGCGACTTCTCAGAGGCACCACGTGCCCTGCACAGCTGCAGGCCCAGCAGCTGTCCGGCAAAGAGCTGAGGCCCAGAACCAGGACGAGCTCAGCCCTTTGTTTCTGTCCTCCTCATAACCAGCGTGCGGCCAGGTCCCTGTCCATCCACCCGTCAGCTGTGGTTTTCAACATCTGCTTCTCAGAAGTACCGAGTTACCAGCACCTCTGAAGGAAATTCATGACGATTCACTCGCTGACATCACTGCCTCAAAAGATGTTATTTAAATGTCTGAGGTCACACACAAGATCTACACAGAACTGAGTTAATACAAAAAGATTTACATTTCAGATACTTGCAAACTATAAATCAGCATTCAGAGTAATTAATTAAAAAATAAAAAATGCTTCCCTCATTACTGAGACCCTGCAAACTAGGTCGTGGAACGCCAGCATGCCTCCTCACCAAGGAGCTTTTCAAAACTACCTTCTAAGAGGGCCTTCACGTAAGTCTTTTGATTAAAACCTAGGACTGGCTGGATAACAGACTACAGTTACAAAAATAGTAAGGGGGAAATTAAGAAATATTTACTATTTAACTCAATATAGGACCCAGCAATCTAGGCAAGTATAATTATGGATGTAAAAGTTCATATCACTAAACAGAAAATTATCAATGTTTTCTACACAGCAAATGAATAGGAAAATAAGGGTTAAATAAAATCAGGGGGCACTGAACTACATTCCACACATGCACGCCAAGCACGTCGGAACACAGCTGAGAGCGAGGCTGCTATTAAACAGTGACTATGTTCAAGGGGAAAATCAGTTTCATGAAAACCTGATGCATGACGTTCAAAAACTTCTGTACCTAAATGAAGAGAACTCCACCTTTCCTTGGAGACGAGTCAGTTATGCTTAGTGGCACGGTACGGAGTTCCTACAAGTCACAACACACCCAAAGGACTGGAACATTAATTATAACTGAAATGAATACCAAATAAAAGAACAGGTGAATCACGTGAAGACTTTGCAAACAATTCGGCACTAAGCGTAATATCAACAAAACTGGGGCCTGCGTTGTAGCATAGCTGGTTAAGCCGCTGCCTGAGATGCCAGCATCCCACACTGGCACAGTTCCTGTCCAGGCTGCTCCACTTCCACCCCAACTCCCTGCTCATGTGCCTGGGAAAGCAGCAGCAGATGTCCCAAGTGTTTAGGCCCCTGCTACCCATGTGGGAGACCTGGATGAAGCTCCTGGCTTCAGCCTGGCTCACCCATGGCCATTGCAGCCACTTGGGAATTGAACCAGCGGATGAAGCTCGCTCTGTCTCTCCCTCTCTTTCTTTCAAATACATAAATCAATCTTTTAAAATACGTATAAACAAAATCCCAATACTCATTTAAGAAAGAAAAAAAAAAAAAAAAACCTGGGAATTTTCTAGACTCTGATCATCTGACTCAGAATCAAAGCCGTCAAGTGACCAGAGCAGGGACTAACTCTGCAAAGTAAACAGAGAACTTGTATTCGGTAAGAGGCCTACCAACTGCCTGGGTGAGCTGCATTTCCATTAAGCTGTGAAATACAAGGAATATGGAATGGAAAACGATCATTCTTCTTGCCTACGCTTTTAAATACTGTTGTAAAACCTGCCGAAATCAACTGTCCTTGACTACTTCACGTCCGGTGTGACCTCCACGACTCACTCTGCAACCTGGACAATGACGACCTGCTGTGTTCTGATGATTACAGAGCTTTACAGAAGGCTAAGGCACACCAAAAAAAGCCGAAACTACCACACTGTGCCTTGGCATATACTCAAATTGGGCTCTAAGAAAGATTCCTGAATTCATATTAAAATTTTCATAAAAAAAAAATCCCAGCTGTCAGTACGCCAGCTGGAAATAGGATCAAGCCACCAAATTAAGCTCCTTCCCCAACACCAGCCCAGCCTCTCCCTTTTCTTCAAAAAATCATAAATCGTAAAGCCGAGAACTTAGTCACAACAACAAGAACAGCACACTCTGAACTTCCACCCTGCAGAGGAGCTCACGGCGGCCTGGTCCCCTCCAGGTCTCTCTCCCATCCTGCTCTCCCTCTGCTGACTGTCCCTTCCTGTCTATCGCCCCAACCCCAATCTTCCCATCTCTCTGATTTCCTGTCTCTGTGTCTCTCTCCTGTCCCTCTGCCTCCCCTCTCAGTCCACCTCCTGTCTCCTGTCCCCTCAGCTGTCTGCCTCCTTCCTTCCCTCCACAGTCACCCCCACTCCCCCATCTGTCTCCTCCCCCAAGTGTCACCCCCACTCCCCCATCTGTCTCCTCCCCCAAGTGTCACCCCCACTCCCCCATCTGTCTCCTCCCCCAAGTGTGTCACCCCCACTCCCCCATCTGTCTCCACCCCCAAGTGTCACCCCCACTCCCCCATCTGTCTCCTCCCCCAAGTGTGTCACCCCCACTCCCCCATCTGTCTCCTCCCCAAGTGTGTCACCCCCACTCCCCCATCTGTCTCCACCCCCAAGTGTCACCCCCACTCCCCCATCTGTCTCCTCCCCCAAGTGTGTCACCCCCCACTCCCCCATCCGTCTCCACCCCCAAGTGCCACCCCCACTCCCCCATCTGTCTCCTCCCCCAAGTGTGTCACCCCCACTCCCCCATCCGTCTCCACCCCCAAGTGTCACTCCCACTCCCCCATCTGTCTCCTCCCCCAAGTGTGTCACCCCCACTCCCCCATCTGTCTCCTCCCCCAAGTGTCACCCCCACTCCCCCATCTGTCTCCACCCCCAAGTGTCACCCCCACTCCCCCATCTGTCTCCTCCCCCAAGTGTGTCACCCCCACTCCCCCATCCGTCTCCACCCCCAAGTGTCACCCCCACTCCCCCATCTGTCTCCTCCCCCAAGTGTGTCACCCCCACTCCCCCATCCGTCTCCACCCCCAAGTGTCACTCCCACTCCCCCATCCGTCTCCTCCCCCAAGTGTGTCACCCCCACTCCCCCATCTGTCTCCTCCCCCAAGTGTCACCCCCACTCCCCCATCTGTCTCCACCCCCAAGTGTCACCCCCACTCCCCCATCTGTCTCCTCCCCCAAGTGTGTCACCCCCACTCCCCCATCCGTCTCCACCCCCAAGTGTCACCCCCACTCCCCCATCCGTCTCCTCCCCCAAGTGTGTCACCCCCACTCCCCCATCTGTCTCCTCCCCCAAGTGTCACCCCCACTCCCCCATCTGTCTCCACCCCCAAGTGTCACCCCCCACTCCCCCATCTGTCTCCTCCCCCAAGTGTGTCACCCCCACTCCCCCATCTATCTCCTCCCCCCAAGTGTCACCCCCACTCCCCCATCCGTCTCCTCCCCCAAGTGTGTCACCCCCACTCCCCCATCTGTCTCCTCCCCCAAGTGTCACCCCCACTCCCCCATCTGTCTCCTCCCCCAAGTGTGACACCCCCACTCCATCTGTCTCCTCCCCCAAGTGTGTCACCCCCACTCCCCCATCTGTCTCCTCCCCCAAGTGTGTCACCCCCACTCCCCCATCTGTCTCCTCCCCCAAGTGTGACACCCCCACTCCATCTGTCTCCTCCCCCAAGTGTCACCCCCACTCCCCCATCTGTCTCCTCCCCCAAGTGTCACCCCCACTCCCCCATCCGTCTCCTCCCCCAAGTGTGTCACCCCCACTCCCCCATCTGTCTCCTCCCCAAGTGTCACCCCCACTCCCCCATCCGTCTCCTCCCCCAAGTGTGTCACCCCCACTCCCCCATCTGTCTCCACCCCCAAGTGTCACCCCCACTCCCCCATCTGTCTCCACCCCCAAGGTGTCACCCCCACTCCCCCATCTGTCTCCTCCCCCAAGTGTGTCACCCCCACTCCCCCATCTGTCTCCTCCCCCAAGTGTGACACCCCCACTCCCATCTGTCTCCACCCCCAAGTGTCACCCCCACTCCCCCATCTGTCTCCTCCCAAGTGTGTCACCACTCTCCATCTGTCTCTCCTCCCCCAGTGTGACACCCCCAGCCTCCCCCATCTGTCTCCTCCCAAGTGTGTCCCCCCACTCCCCCATCTGTTTCCTCCCAAGTGTGTCACCCCCACTCCCCCCCATCTGTCTCTCCTCCCCCAAGTGTGACACCCCCAGTTTCCCCCATCTGTCTCCTCCCAAGTGTGTCACCCCCATTCTCCCATCTGTTTCCTCCCCCACGTGTTACCCCCACTCTCCCCTGTCTCCTGTCCCAAGTGTGTAACCCCCACTCTCCCCCATCTGTCTCCTCTCCTACCCCAAGTGTGTCACCCCACTCTCCCCATCTGTCTCCTCTCCCCCCAGTCTGTCGCTCCCACTCTCCCCCATCTGTCTGTCTCCTCTCCCCCCAATATCGCCCCCACTCTCCCCATCTGTCTCCTCTCCCCCAAGTCTGTCGCCTCCGCTCTCCCCCATCTATCTGTCTCCTCTCCCCCCAGTCTCAGCCCCACTCTCCTCCATCTGTCTGTCTCCACTCTCCCCCATCTGTCTGTCTCCTCTCCCCCCACTCTCCCCATCTGTCTCCTCTCCCCCCAGTCTCGCCCCCATCTGTCTCCTCCCAAACCTGTCTCCCCCACTCTCCCCATCTGTCTCCTCTCCCCATCTGTCTCCTCTACCCTCAGTCTCACCCCCACTGTCCCCGTCTGTCTCCTCTCTCCCCCAGTCTCGCCCCACTTTCCCCCATCTGTCTGTCTCCTCTCCCCCCACTCTCCCCATCTGTCTCTTCTCCCACTGAGTCTCGCCCCACTTGCCCCATCTGTCTGTCTCCTCTCCCCCCCAATCTGTTGTCCCCACTCCCCCATCTGTCTCCTCTCTCCCTCAGTCTCGCCCCCACTCTCCCATCTGTCTCCTCTCCCCCCAGTCTCCCCCCATCTGTCTCCTCCCCAAGCCTGTCTCCCCCACTCTCCCCATCTGTCTCCTCTACCCCCAATCTCACCCCCACTGTCCCCGTCTGCCTCCTCTCTCCCCCAGTCTCGCCCCCACTTTCCCCCATCTGTCTCCTCTCCCCCCACGTCTGTCTCCTCTCCCTCCAATCTCGCCCCCACTCTCCCCATCTGTCTCCTTTTTCCCCCCAGTCTCGCCCCCACTCTCCCCATCTGTGTCCTCTCCCCCTAGTTTTCGCCCCCATCTGTCTGTCTCCTCTCCCCCCACGTCTGTCTCCTCTCCCTCCAGTCTCGCCCCCACTCTCCCCATCTGTGTCCTCTCCCCCCAGTCTCGCCCCCATCTGTCTCCTCTCCCCCCACGTCTGTCTCCTCTCCCTCCAGTCTCGCCCCCACTCTCCCCATCTGTGTCCTCTCCCCCCACGTCTGTCTCCTCTCCCTCCAGTCTCGCCCCCACTCTCCCCATCTGTGTCCTCTCCCCCCAGTCTCGCCCCCATCTGTCTGTCTTCTCTCCCCTCACGTCTGTCTCCTCTCCCTCCGGTCTCGCCCCCACTCTCCCCAATCTGTCTGTCTCCTCTCCCCCCAATCTGTCGCCCCCACAACTCTGTCTCCTCTCCTCTCTGGCAGGCCGGCATGTCCCTGCCCCCGTCCATCTTCGGCCCGCGTCCCGCGCGGGGCCCGGCTGGGCCGAAGCTGTCACCCTGCGGGCGCCTGGAGCGCAGGGCCGCGGCGGAGTGCGGGAGTGCGGGGCCGGGGCCGTGCCCGCCGCCCGGCCCCGAGTCAGGAAACAGCCCGAGCGCGCGGCGGCCGTGATTCAGCAGCGGGGCCGGGCCCAGCCGAGTCCGGAAAAGGTCACCGCGACGCCGCGGCGGCGGCCGAGCCCGGACCCGCCCCGCGAGCCGGCGGCGGCGGGCGCGGCGCCGGGGCCGGCGGGCTCCTACCTTTGCGGCTCTTCGGGGAGCTCCGCTTGCTCCGGGCGCTGGCTCGCTCTTCCTCAATCGCAGCTGCTATCTCGGGGTTGTCTTCCCCATTGTACCAGACCAGCAGCTCCTCGCCCGGCGCGATTGGCTGCGGAGAGAGAAGAGACAAGCACCGGGCCAATCAGAGCGGCGGTTGTTGGCGGGGGCGGGGCGCCGCGGCGGCGGCCGGGCGGCCGGGCGCGGCGCGCCGACGGCAAACAGCTGTGGGCGCCGCGGCGGCCGGCGCGCTCCGGGCCGTGGCGCCGCCGCGCAGGCCCCTCTGCTGGACGGAGGACCGCACGGCGGGTGCGGACGCAGGCGGCGACAGCGCTGGCCACGTACGCCCACGACGCCCCACGCCTAGGCAACCCGAGCCGGGAGGCGTCCGGCCGCGCGAGGCCCGCGCCCCTCGCCGCGAACGCGCCGCCCGGCAGCCTGCAGACCCCGGCAGACCCCGGCAGGGCCCAGGGGCGCCGAGGGAGGAGGACCTGGCCGGGCAGGCCCCTGCCCACGCGGGGAAACAGCCTGGCCCCGCTCAGGATGACGCCTCCGTGTGCACAGCGGCGGGGGATCCGGGTCGGTAGCATCCAGCCGAGACCCACTAGGGTCGCGTGCGCGTCCGCGCAGGTGGGCGAACTTGTCAGCCCGTGGAAAGCAGAGTTCTAGGCGCAGACCCCAGCTGACCAGTGAGAAGGAACCCCACCCCACCCCCCGCAGCCGGCTCAGCTGTGCGAGGCTCAGCAGGAACCCACAGGCGAATGTTTGCATAGTCTCAAAATATCCCCGCATGAAACACGTGTTAATTACAAAGAAGAGAGACACAGCACCGGGAGCCTGCGGACTCCATCAGAACACAGGAGGAGCCTTCCCTAAGAAAACAAAAGACAAAGACTAAGGTCCCCCAACCCAGGAGGCCTGGCTGAGACCCGGGTGTCGCTTCCTGGTCCGCGGACGCGGCTGGAACGGAAGAGCAGGAGCCGGAGCGAGGAGTACAGATTAGGAAGAGACCACGGGGCTGGCCTCGGCTCCGGACTCGGATCACCGCAGTCTGATCCTGTCGGGAGCAGGGGCAAAGCCCCCCGGAGATGCCGCTTTAGGACCTAGCTCTTCCTTCCAGGGAGACAGAGCCGGTGCTGCAGAACTCCCACCTGGCCCCACAGAGCATTCCTGATGATCTCACATGTTAACAAGTCACTTTCCTTTGCTCCCCCGAGGATGGCCAAAAGCTGCCATTTGCTCATCTTTGAACAAATACGTTCCCTTCATAACTCAGTTACACATAAAAAAAAAATCATGATATTAATGGGCTAAAATAGCCATGTGTCACTCTGATGAAAAAACAGATTTTTGCTCTAAGACACGTTTATGAAATGGTGGTAATCAATGTTGGACATGTCGAGCGTTCTCAGAAGTATGTGAAGTCTTAAATGAAGCCAAATAAGAAAAGGAAAACGTGGGGAGTCAGGACGAATGCAGTCCCAATTCATTCCCAGTCCAAGAAGCGCACCCAGAGACTGGTTAGGAGACAGCATGGGACTTAGGTCTCCGTGTGCCCGCTCCGCATTCAGCCGTGCAGTGCTGACGGTGCCGGCGGCCTGCTGAAGCCCGGCATCAGCTCACACGCCGCTCAGGAGGGCCCACTGGGTTGCTGCTAAGTTCACAATAAGAAAACACCAGAATCTTCCTGCTTCACAAATCTAACGTCAAGTTTCTAGCAGGCCAATGGGCTGACGAAGCAGCAACAGGCAAGAGGCACCTGACTTCAACTTTACACTGAGACAGCTACAAATAACTGACCCTTCAAAAGAAAAACCAGTCTTTTCAATCAAGGACTTGCTTCCATATTGCTCTCTTTTCTGTTTAGCATTCTTAAGGTTTCTCACATGGAATTTCGGGAGGGAAATCATGTCCTTAAATAAAGGAAATATACATCTACATTCAAAATAAAAGATTAAACCACCTTTTTTGCATATACAGGTGTAATAATGTGCCACTTAAAGAAGGGGCAGGTGCTGAGACAGGCGTGCCTCGGTGGTTCTGTTGTAGAGCATCGGAATGTGTGCTGACACGCCACTGATCCAGCTGTGACATGAGGGCACACAACCTGAGAGCACCGTCATAAGCAGTCTCACTGGCTGGCACCTGGTTATGCAGCACATGGCTGTACCGTATTTTCACATTAAAAAAATACCACCAACAACAAAAACACTCCCAACCCTGCAGCTTTTCCCTGGCTTTCAGACAGGCGTCCCCAAATCGCCCGTCCTCACTCCCCTAAATATCAGTGTGCAGACACCTGAGGTTCGAACAGGCCAACTAGGAGGAAACAAGAGTTCTAAGTATTTCTGACCCCAGGTCACAGTGAAGGAATCTGGAACCATCGGATCACAGAGTGCGTCCTCGCTTACCTACCTAGGATCCATTCCCAGCAGAGTCCTGTAAGAGGCAGGCGAGCTCTCAGCTCCACTCTCCAGTGACGACCAGACCGCAACGCCTCTGCCCACAGCCTCTGAGCCCCAGCTGACCTCGCCCCTGCCCCTCACCAGCCTCAGCTCCGTGACTCCGCCTCTCCCTCCAGCCACATGTGGTTCTGTTCTTTAATAATAAACTTGAATTCTGTAAAAGTTACCTTATTCCTTTGTTTCTACCGGCCCTGCTTCCTGAATGCTCTTCCTGCAGATCTTTGTATGGCCAGCTCCCTCCTTTCCCAGGGCTAGGGTCAAATGTCTTTTCCAGAAAGGCCTCCCTGACCCACAGGACTGAAAGCAGCCTTGCCGCTGTGGCATGTTACTGTCTTCATAGCACTCATCACCATCTTATTTCCGGATTATCTGCCTCTGCTTCCTTACCAATAGAAGTTCGAAAAGATGGCAGACCTTGTCCGTCTGTTCACTGCTAAAGGACAGTCCGTGGAGCACAGGAGACAATAAAGATTTGGAAAACTCACGAGTACATGCGTGAATAGATAGCAGACTCAGTTACCTTTCTGGAATCCTAATCATATTGCAAACAAAACCAGTGCTGAGATTTCCCAATGACCTGGGTGCAGTAATAAGTTGAGAACACAATCCAGGGTCCGGCAGACTTCCTGGGCAGTTTATCCACAAGACACAAACCTACACGATGCTAATCTAGAAGACAGGAAGTGATCTCTGGTGATGAGTCTGAAAGACCACGAGGTCAGGACAGGAGGACATCTGCAAGGGTCAGAACTATGCTATTTTGGACAAAGGTAAAAATAACAGCGGCAGCGTAACCAGTCCCTCCGCCGCCGCGGGTTGGCTGAGGGCTGCTCACAGAGCCTCGGGCGTGCTGGCTCGCCGAGTCTGCCCAGCACTGCCTCCATCTCCACAGGCGAGAGAACTCAAACACAGAGAGAAGGACCTTTGCCTAGCCACACCGGAGGCCAATGTGGATGACCAGGGCGTCTGCTGCAGAGTCCCTGCTTCTGACCATCACACCACATCAGCTTGCCAAGAGGGACAGCTTCATTTACCAGCACTTTGTAGGTGCAGAGCTCTCTCCCAGTCACCTGACTCTAGCAGGTCCACGCGACAATGACCTGTTCCTCCTGATACGGGAGCTGAGGTCACACCCTTTGCCTGGGTCACAGGAGTCAGGTTTTAACCCGGGCAGTCTGGCTCCAGAATTCACACTGGCACCCACTGCTGCGCACCTCGCTTCTGGAGGTTCACGTGCATTTGCTATCAGAGGAGAGCACAGCTGAGTCTGACAAGGTACCCTGGGACCCCTTTGGGCACGTGTTCCTTCAGAACCCCCTCCCACCCTGCCTGGTGTTTTCACCCCCTGGTCTCCACGGGGATTCTGTATCACGAGTCAAAGGCATGTCGCCCTCACTCTAGACAAGAAACCGTGAATTCTTGAATCATACTGTGAATCCAGTTTCGAACTCCAGGATGGCAAGACTGCACAGCAGCATCTTCCAGAAAAGCAAGCGACCACAATCAAGCAGAAAGGAAACGGGAAGCAGGGCTCCGAGGCCTCTGTGAGGAACTAGCGCAGAAAAGTATCTCCCGCGGGGGCCGGAAGCAAGAACGTGTGGGGGGGGGGGGGCTAATCCAACTGGCAGCTACACGTGAACTAAACTCCCCGATGGCCTGGGGCTGACACATGAACAAGACAGTTGCAGAACCGGCCATTGCCTTAAATGCTCGCTCACCAAGCGGTTTCAACTGCATAGAGACGATTCTCCTCACAAGTGTCCCTAAGTCCATGACGTGTTTGATGGAGATAAATGAATAAACAGAAGTCTGCCTTGGAGCGATGTAAGCAAGTCTATCTTCGCAGCCTCAAGATTCTGGGGCAGGTGTCTGACACAGCGGTTAGGGTGCCAGTTACCACGTCCGCACCCCACGGCAACGTCCCAGCCCTGGCTCCTGACTCGAGCTTCCTGTTAATGCACACCCTGGGAGGCAGCGGGTGACGGTTCAAGTAGTTGTGACCCTGGCAGCCATGTGGGAGACCTAGACCGAGTTCCTGGCTTCCGACTTCCACTAGGCCTTGCCCAGACCCAGTCGTTGTGGGCAAATCGGGAGTGAACTAGTGGGTGGGGGAGCACCCTTTCTCTCTCTCTGTCTCTCCCTCCCAAATAACACCATGGAAGTGCGCTTCAGAACACTGCTGTGCACAACGTGGAGATTTGTCCTCCAAGCGCTGGACCCTGCAGGCGTGCAGAGTCCAGCCGGCTGCAGAAATCCAGCAGCGCTCACGAGCCTCACGAAGGTGCCCGGCGTGCGCTCGGCCACCTCGCCACCAGCCCAAACACAGGACTTCCCTCTTCCTCCGTCTCCACACGTAACGTCTCCAAAGAAAACTGTCTGAGGGAGACACATGTCCTGAATAATGCTGAGGGCAAAGCACAGGCAAGCCGGGGCTGCGCCCGCGCTGAACACCGTGCGCGGAACCACCACAGCTATCCACGGTCTCTTACACTTGGAAACACTCTGCCGCCAGACAGCCGCAGAGCCCTGCACGCGGGCGGCGGGAAGCAGATGCCGCACACCGGGCTGGCTCACCAGGGTCTGCGAAGATGCGGGCTGTGATCACTCAGCGCCACCCGGATGCCTCGATTCCCCATCGTACCCGAGGCAGTGACAACCATGTACTAACAACGCAGCAGCTCGCGTGCCCCTTGAACCACAGCTCGCGTGGCCCTTGCAAAGTCTGCGGAATCCGAAGCCCCTGCCAATCACAGCCGAGGGCGGTGAGGAGGGGCCGGCCCTCCCCGGTTACCTTCAACGTCTTGTAGTAGATGGCTCTGTTGATCTCCAGCGGAAACAAGTTCTGCTCGGCGCCCGCGGAAACAAGTTCTGCTCGGCGCCCGAGCAAGCCCAGTTCACGTAGCGCAGCCAGTTGCCCTTCTCCGGGTCGGTGGCGTCGATGCACATCCATCCCAGGTTCGGATAGTACACCTGGGGAGGGGACGCTTGGGTTAAAAGAAGAGCATCTAAAATGTCCCGTCTTCAGCTTTGAGACAGTTCTCAATATCTGCAAACGCTCTTTAAAGCAGTTCCTATGGGGCCAGCGCTGTGGCGGGGCAGGGGATCTGGGCCCACCGACCACACGGTGAACACGTGTCCTGAGCTGCCGTGTGAGTTTGCCATGCTTTTGCAAACTCGGCTGACCCTTAATACCTCAGGACAGGGTGCCATGGATACAATCTGGGAAACGTCAGTACCATTCCTAAGCAAAGACCCAAACCCAAGCCCCTCTTTGCAGAGTCAGAGCAAACCTCCTCCTGCAGCCAGACTCAAGTCAACTCCTCCCCACGCGCCCCCTCCCCCCATGCTGCCGCCCTCATTTAGCATCCTTGCATCCAGTTAGCAATGGTTTTTGACCGGAGCTTTGTGTACACATAAATAGGATTTATTTTTCCCAAACTAAACTGCAAAAACACCCAAGTAGGCACTGAAACAAATGCAGAATCAATCGGTGAAGATTCACGTGCTGAGCAAATGAAATTCGCCTTTTACTTTGTTTCAGAAAAAAAGGGGGAAAAAACTCTGTCTACCTCCCCCACCAAACACACGCGCACACACGCGTGTACACACACACACACACACACACACAGCCTGGCTCTCCACACTCCAATGGCTTTCCTCCTGGACCCACACAGGCCACCCTTCCTGTGGAACAAGCTCGCGCTCCTGGGCTGAGAGTGAAGACGCTGCTCTCTGGGCACGCTGGCTCCCCAAGCCCGGGACTGCCACGTGTGGCCTCCACCTTCCTGGCACCACCACTGCCTTCTCTTGTGGGGAGCTTTGGGGTATGATGCTGCATGTTTTATATATTATCTGGTGTAATCTGGGCAGCAGGTTTAGTATTCCATCTATTTTCTTTTCCTTTTTTTTTTTAAAGATTTATTTTATTTTATTTATATGAAAGTCAGAGTTACAGAGAGAGGGAGAGACAGAGAGGTCTTCCATCCAGTGGTTCACTCCCCAGATGGCTGCAATGGCCGGAGCTGTGCCAATACAAAGCCAGGAGCCAGAAGCCTCTTCCAGGTCTCCCATGTGGGTGCAGGGGCCCAAGCACTAAGGCCATCTTCCACTGCTTTCCCAGGCCATAGCAGAGAGCTGGATCAGAAGAGGAGCAGCAGGGACTAGAACTGGCACCCATACGGGATGCCGGCTCCTCAGGCCAGGGCTTTAACCCACTGTACCACAGTGCCAGCCCCATTCCATCTATTTTCAACATGGCAAAATGAGGTTCAGAGGTTAAAGGACTTTCCTTTCCAAGTCACCTACTTAATCACACCACTACTCATCGGGCCCCTCCTGAGCACTCCAGCAAGAACAGCCAAGCCGGGCCCTCACTCCCTTCCTTCCTCACAGCACTGGGGCGGCTCTAACACACAGTCTCACCAGTGGACCTGCTCTGCGCAGGGCACTGGTAGCTCCACCAGAAGACAACTGGCCTTCTCACACACTGACCGCCTCCAACGCCTTGCCGAAGCCTGGCATAAAGCAGGCTAACAACAAAAAACCATGGCATGAATGCATGGAACCAGCATGTGAGGAGCACCTGCTGTGTGACAGGTGCACACCTGCCGTGTGACAGGTACACACATACAGAGTGTGCCCACTACTGCCTCAGCACCTCCTGTGGTTTATTAAAAAACTGGTGGGCAACGGGCACTTGTCCTACCGGTTAAGGCAACCTCAACTCACATTGGAGTGCCCAGGTTCAGTGCCCAGCTCCAGACTCCAGCTTCCCGCTAATGTGCACGCTAGGAGGGAACAGGTAACAACTCAGGTGGGACCTGGACCTTCTGGCTTCAGCCTGGCCCAGTCCTATTTATTGGGCATCTGGGGAATTAATCAGCAAATGAGTGTGCTCTTGTACTCTTTCTCCCTCTCAAATTGAAGATAAAACAGGGGAGCCAGTGCTGTGGCATAGTAGGTAAAGCCACCATCAGCAGTGCCAGCATTCCATATGGGTGTTGGTTCAAGTCCCAGTTGCTCTACTTCCAATCCAGCTCTCTGCTATGGCCTGGGAAAGCAGTACAAGATGGCCCAAGTTCTTGGGCCCCTGCACCCATGCAGGAGACCTGGAAGAATTTCCTGGCTCTTAGTTTCAGATTGGCAAGCATTGTGGCTATCTGGGGAGTGAACCAGCAGATGAAGACCTCTCTCTCTCTCTCTCTCTCTCTCTCTCTCTCTCTCTGCCTCCGCCTCTCTCTGCCTTTCAAATAAATAAATACATCTTTAAAAAAGAAAAGAAAATAGAATGTTTAAGGGCTGTTTAAGGGCTATTTCCGTCATGTTTGTCAGCATAGCAAAATAAGGAGAATGGACAACACGCCCCTGGAACCCTGCCCACCCACCGTTCCTACTTTGTAGCACCACATGCAGGCTATCCTTCCCCATCCCAATATAAACTGCCGCCGGACTCTGGGGTAACAAGCCTCACGTTGCTGCGTCTTGGGGGGCGGCAGGGTCCCACCTGCTCCCCATCCGCACACTGGCCAGGCTGCCAGGGAAACCTGGAGCTGCAGCAGGCAGCCAGAGTGGGGCTGCCTCCGAGCAACAGTGCAGCCTGAGCTGGAACCCTCTGGTGCTCTGGTCAGCCTGAACCTTTGCAGGAAGCAAAGCGCTCCAGTTGAGCCAATTCCTCATGCACGCACAGCTCCCTTTGCTTCAAAGGGGACTAGGGAACCTCCTAGGCCAGACTGAACTGCAAAAGCAAAATATTCTTTTGTTTTATTAAAAAAATGAACACTTCTTTAAAATAGACTAACAAGTAATTAATTCACAAAAGAATACAAGTACCCAAAACCTCAAGAACACACGGACACACACGGACACACACACACACACACACAGCTTGGGTAAGGCAGTAAAATGACCACTTGGGAAACACACATCCCATGTGGGAGGGCCTGGACTGAATCTCAGCTACTATGCTTCAGAGCCAGCTTCTTGCTGTTACTTCACACCCATGGCAAGTTCTTGGGTCCCTGCCACCCACATGGGAGACCTGAATTGAGCTCCAGGCTCCTAGCTTCAGCCTCGCTCAGTGCCGGCTGTTGTGGGCATTTGAGAATGAATCACTGGATGGAGAAAGAGAGATCCTTTATTTGCCTTCAAATTAAAATGAAAATAATTTTTTAAATATATTAAACTTAATAAAACTTCAAATTAAAACTACTTTCTATTAAATTAGCAAAAAAGTTTGTTATTGAAAAGGAAAAAATGGGAAGAGTATGGGAAACAAGACTCCCCCAAACGCTGCTGATCAGAGAACAAACTGGTGTAAAGGTTTTGGATGGAATTTAGAAGAATCTGACCAAGAAAGTCTCTAACACACACATATACTTCAGCCATCATGTGGGATGTACTCTGATGAGACGACAGGGCAGTTGTACCGGATGTGTGAACAAAGATGTTCACAGTAGTGGGACTCACTGAGACTGATGCCGGTCCACATCCACACAATAACAGAGGCAGCTCAGTGAGTGACGGCCCCTCCTTGCAGCAAAGACTAAGGCTCTGAAAAGCACTGTTGGGGCCGGCGCTGTGGCGCAGTGGGTTAATGCCCTGGCCTGAAGCGCCAGCATCCCATATGGGTGCCAGTTCAAGATCCGGCTGCTCCACTTCCTGTCCAGATCTCTGCTATGGCCTGGGAAAGCAGTGGAAGATAGCTAAACCCCTTGGGCCCCTGCATCCATGTGGAAGACCGGGAGGAAGCTCCTGGCTCCTGATTGGCACAGCTCCGGCCATTGCAGCCAATTGGGGAGTGAACCATCGAATGGAAGACCCCCCCCCCCGTAATGCTTTCAAATAAATAAATAAATATTAAAAAGAATAAAAAAGAAAAGCACTGTTGTGTGAACAGTGGGCAGGTGATGTGCTAACTTCTATTTCTGTTAGATGGTTCTCCATCACCTGAGAATTTTATCTCTATAATTAAGAGAGAAAAGTACAGCCATTTATGGCATTATTCAGAATTTATGAATGACTGATAGAAATACAGGCAGATATGGTACATTTTTGTTTTACATATAGGAACATTAAAGAGAAACATAATCTGAACCTAAATATATGAAAATGTCAATAGTGGTTTTCTCTAAAAAGCAGGGTAACCCATAACTCTTTTCCCTTCATTTATGTGAACTTCCTACCTTCGTGCCACACAGCACAAAAACGAGGCTGCTGGAAGAACAGCCTTTTGAATAAAAGCTGGAGTCTGAGTGACAGCAGCCAGTCTGCCGAACACTGCACTGAAGGCCCTCATCACACATGCGTGCCATTTGCAAAGCACGGAACTGTCGCATTTTCCTGTGAGTGTACCCGTAAACACAGGAACTCGGGTGGGGATGTGATTTTACACAATTCCCTTCATAGGTGTCAAACCTCGGTTCCCAATCAAATTAATTTCAGTGACTGAGACACAGAACCTGTCTCCAAATGTGACGAAAGTCTGCTTAATCTAGTAAAACTCACTAGACCTCAAAGGCGCCAGTCCCAGTCTCTCCCTCTCAGACAAGGCAAAGGCAGGTAAACCTCCGACCTGGGCCCAAACCCAGAAAACGACACACCTGAGAAACCCACTTCCAGATCTTCATGAGGACCAGGAAACACTGAGCTGACGTGACCCCAGAGAGCACTGTTACACCTGATCCACCATTCTCCTGACCCACTCGAGAGAACAGCCCCTCTAACAAAGCAAGGTGGCGGTGACAATATAACGCTGTGAAATACCCTCGCTAGTGAACTCACTTTCAGACACATTCTAGAAAGAGCCAAAAAAGGGAAGCACCGGCATACCGAGCCCTGGGCTGCGCGCTTTACGTGCTGTTTTGGTTAACCTTTGTAACAATCTGCAAAATGATTATGAAATATTATTAAGCCCATTTCATAAAAGAGGAAACCTAGGAAAGGTTGATGATCGCTTTCGTCAAATAATCAAG